AGCCATTGAAGATTAAGCAACTTTCAGCATGGCTGATCTTAATGTCTCTTTCTTTAAGCCGATTGTCCTGGCTGCATTTGCAGTTTTTACCCTATTTCGGGTATAAGAAAGCCTGTGCTCCAGTAGTGGGAGATAAATAGACTATGATGATGATGCTGCACAGGGATAAAAAACAAATATTCCAGTTGATTAGGATATTAATGTTATTTAGTACATTAGTATTATATGTCATGAATGTTTATATACTTTTGTATACATTAATATGTTATTTAATTCTTGCAGTACAAGCTCATCTTGGTATTAGGACTTTATAATATTATTGTGGTTTCCGATTCTTTTATTTTGGCTCCTTCTTCCTAATTCCAAATGAGTTCATTATTCAAATACATGGCCTTCTATTATCCGTTCAATAATATTCTCATTATAAAAAAAGTCGCCGTTTCAGCAAAATGGCAGCTCGTTCCCTTTTGACAACAATGAAATCTCCCCTATTTAAAAGAATCCCTAAAAAATTTGCAAGCTACGAGTGAGTCTCGAAGAAAATCTAATCCCGAAAATCCAGGAGGGCCGCACGATATTCAAATTTGCAAATATCGGGTAAGAGGGTGGGCAGGGGGCAGGTAATGGGGTGGGGGGTGTCTCGAGGGTGGCTTTGGGTTGTTGACCTTTTTCCAGAGGCTGCTAACTTCAAATATACATAGACACATATATTAACGTATATTTCGTGCTGAATTAGATTCAATGGAAGTGGTTTGAAACAATATCATACTAGCAGCCGCCCGCTACTTTGTCCGCATTAACTATGGTTTTTTGACAATCTTTTTAACATAACGAGTGATATTTAATTCAAATCAAAATGCACCCATCATGAGATATAAAATTATTATAATAGTGGTTTTTTCCACAGTTACAATCGATATATTTTCTAGAGATAACTGCTGTTATTTGACAGTTAGGAAAATACGAATAAGTGTGATGCGCCAGCCTTAATTTTACAAGTAAAATCATACCATTCATCTATAACTGCAAAACCATCATTGACGCTAAAAAGCATAAAATAAAAATAACCGTTAACAAATTTAAAAAACAGGACTGACTCCCTTGTATAAGTACAAACACTGAATAATCTTAATACAAGCAAGAATGTCTTTGTAAAAACTCTTCTTAGGACATAAGTGTAGGTTCGAGTCATCTTATCTGTCCATTAGTGAGTCTTGTCTGATAAAAGTAAAAAATGTTGCATTTGAATTCATAAACATAAAATATGATTGATTCTTGGGACAACCCAAGCCGGAATCTGGCATACAAATGCCAGATTCCGGCTAATGTTTGAAAATATCACATCTAGCAACAAATGTATATCCGTGTTAAAGGGCATCCCAATTATGTTTTGACGTACACTGGCTAGCTTTCCCTAGAAAATTGGGATAGCAGTACGGGGTATATTTACATGGGGTCTGTATGTACTTGGTTTTATGTACGCAGTAATTGGGGTACAGATTTAGGATTAGCGCTTAAAATTTTCAATTAGGCGGTTTTCGTTAGATTCTTAATACTACTTTTCGGTAATGTATGGTACACTTTACTGCCTTTCCTATTTAACATGAATTGTAGTACCTACCAAATTTGTAATAGAATAACAATTCTTTTTCGTAAATCTGAATCCATGTATCAATATTTTTAATGTATTTTTAATCCATGCTTGTCACAAATAATTCTGTATAATCACTCTCTTTGTGTTTTTATTATATTAAAGCGTTTACTTTTTGTCTAACGGATTTTTTTAATTTATTTTTTGTATATTACAAGTTTAAACTTTTCCAAATGTTTGAGAAGTTATAATTACATGTAAATGTAAAAACTTGAAAGTTCATTATTGCAACTGCAGATAAATAAAAAAGCTAGTGGGAAGATATATGTAGCTCTATCATATCGCCGACCCTCGTTAGGCTTTTCCGGCCCATATCCGGCTCGAAGGACCAATACCGGAAACGGTAAGAAATGATGTCAGATCTAATGGGGACGACAGTTCTGGATTGTTGATGACGTTTGCCATACTAATATAATCTTAAAATCTAAAACGTAACTGAATCTCTATATGTATAAAGGGCAGAAATAAACTATAACTACTTAGAGACCTAACATAGCTACAATACATTTGCATTCTGTCTGCGATCGTAAATTTAAGCAATTTTAGCAATGTCTGTCATAGGATGGGTGATCAAAAATATATTATCTCGACCTTCTTGTTTCGGAAGGCATGTGAAGCCGGTGATCTCAGCTCCATCTGCAGTGGTTAGAACTCATTAACCTACACTGGACTCATAATCCCCTTATTTTGTTCATTGCACCGATCTAAGGTCGGTGAGATACGAATATTAATATTTGAACATTAACGCTGATGATGATAGATCCACTTCCACTGTATATAATTCATTACCAAAAAGTAAATAAAATTCATTATTGCAACCTTAAAAAACCTAAATGTATACCGTAAGTTTAGCTCAAGAACTCTAGTAAATTTACTCTTCCAACGAAAGTGAAATTCTAAAGCAGTACAAGTGCGCGAACATCTTCAGGATTTTAAGTTCAAAAAGTCAGCTCCATATTTAAAAGAAGACTAAAACTAGACCAAAACTTTCAAGGTCGGTAAACGCAGTCTCACGGACTGCGCCGCTCTCCTCCTACCCCCATACCCCTTCGCACACGTGTCCAACCACCCTACACATGGTTGCCATAGCAACACAGCATCCTACTTCCACGCCCACACCCCGGGGGCGAACTCTCAAGATATTACGCCCTACTTCGTCCGCATTGGTGAACTAAAGGGGTGTAGGCACCGAGCGAGTGTGCGTACATTTTAGGCTACAACGGAATTCCAATTTAACGGTATCGACTGTCAAAATTGCTTCGGAAAAAACTTAAAGCAGTTAGCGAATGCAAACCGGGCTCGAAGGCTCCCATTCGTAACATTCAACCGACCGCTCGTTAACAAACCTATTCAATACTGAAGTATTAGTCGATTGAGGCAACATTTCTCGCGTCCTATCGCCGCGAGTTCCAATTAGCGACTGAGGCTTGTCGCTGGAGTGGCGGTGACGTCACGCGCTTTCATGCCGCAATAACTACCCACTCAGCGATTCCTTCAATGGCCGACCACTCCACCTGGGCCTTCATTAGGGACCTTCTCAATGTGTACGAGAACGCTGAAAAGGCGAATCTACTAATTTCAAAAAGCAAGTTTTAACGAGTAAACTTGTTTAGCTAATAACCCTTTTTATATAATGGTGCGATCTTGATAGCTTGATTTAATTTTTAAAATTACTATGAGCTGTCAGTCTGACAAAGCGTGCTCTACCTTTTGTTTTTGCTGGAGCCATAGACAAATCTTATTATGGAAATATTTTCAAATTAAGACCGCGCTCCCGCATTATGCGTCTCGGCTTCGTCATTGTCTATGCGCTCGTTTTTATTCATCCTCGCATGTCGAGGTTTTTCGACCACCGTTTTAGTTTTTTTTTCTTTCATTGTTTTTTTAAGCTGTCCCGAGCGTGAATGGAATGCTTTGTTTGTGCGTGTTTTATTATTAATTAGTGGAGCTCTTTTGTCTGTGGTAATTATTGTCTTAATAAGCAGTTCCTGCTCTTCGAAATATGGACGAGTGCTGAAGGAATTGTCAGCTCCTTTCGTTTTTAAATGGAATGAAATGACGTGGGGTTTTTGAAACCTGTTTTGTGGTTTGTCTTCCACTTGCTATTGTGTTAGATGCCGTTGTTAAATAAACTATTTCGATGCCCTATTGTCATGCTTCTGTTATTCGGATAATTTTTATGTAAACTATTTCTATTGTCTAATAGTGATCGTGCTATATGCTGTTTATACATTTTGAATTTAGATATTTTATAGCATTTCGCATGTTTGAAAGAATGAACTTTAATAAGTGCATTTGCATTCCTTAAAAGATAATTTTGTTTTACACTAACAACAACAAAAATAAGACTCTAAAACTTATAACACATAAGTGTGCCAGATGAATTTATAACACATACGTGTGCTAGATGATTAAAAATTAAATTAATTAACCATCACGAACACTACCTTTTATTTCGCACAATAAAAAGCTGAAAGAAATCTCGTTTAATTAGAAGTGAGACACATTTGCATTCATTAAAAGATAATTTTGTTTCACTATCTACTGAAACTGGCATTATAACACATACTAGATGATTAAAAATAATAAATTTATTAACCAACATGAACACTACCGTTTATTTCACATAATAAAGTGCTGAAAGAAGTCTCGTTTAATTAGAGGTGAGACACTCGGGAGCGGCGCGCTTGAATAGCCCCTCGTTGGGCGCCATTTTGCATAATTGGCGACGAGAGCGCCGCGCAAAATTTATACGGCCAGCCCGCCAATTTACTTGCTAATGACTCGTCGTCTTCCCGTCGCCAGAAACTCAGTTTTTTGGGCGACAGTTTCTAGTTTACCGTCGCTTGTTACGTAACTTTCATTTAGCCAGGTGTGACTATTAATTTGATATCATATGTCACAAGGATATCACGGGCCTCACTCACGAATAAGACAATAGCAAAAAGGCACTTTGAATAATAATAATTTTATACTTTAATAATGCCAAGAAAATATTATTTTATGTTTATTACTAGAAAAAAATCCACTCGGTCCAGGTTTCAGACAGGATTCGAACCCGCTCCCCGCGGGCGCACTAACTAATTATGCTACCGACACCTTAGTGTGTACCTTTACAAGTATTTAACAAAAATAGAAATAATAGATTATTCCGGAAGGTGCGGGTTCGAAGCCTCTCTGAAACCTAAAAAAAAAATTTTTCCTCTACCTATAATATCATCCAAACCACCACCACGTTGGGCGCCAAATATTGAACGAAATCGCATGCTTAAGTTAGGATTTATCATCGAAAATACTTTGTCCTGAAATAAAATCTGACACTAATATTGCTTTTTTCTCATTGTTCCAGACGGGGAAGATGGGCCTACCAGCGGGCGGTAGTCTATCGCTGTTCTGCCCCGGAGGAGACTTAGGGCAGCCTCCTCCAGCGCACATGGGCATCCCACCGCCTTACCAGCTTGATTCGAAGCTTGGTGAGTATTTTGGTAATGAAAACTTTTTACTTTTTCCTTGAATTAGTTGTAAATGACTTAGCCAGATTAGTGTGATGTTTGCTGTTTTATGTTATAATGCTTTATGACTTAAAACATGCTATTTGGACAGTTCTGTTTAATTGAATGGGACAAAAGCTACTGTTAGGCGTAGCGCACATCGTAAGAAGCGCTGCGCCTTAAGGTTTAACGTAAATTATACTTCAGTTCAATTTCCTCGACTTTCAATTACCTTGTAGTGAGCTTTGCTACGAAGTGCCTTCATCACACGTTTAGAGAGAATATTAGAAAAATATCTCGATGTAATATCAATATTTAGTTAATATTTTATTAACAAAAAAGGTTTAATTAATAGGAAAACAAAACAAATTTGTTAAATAGTGTGGCAGTTAGTTCAATGAGAAAATAAAGATCACACATCGTAAGTTAAACTAGGAATATTCGGAAATTGAACTTCGTATAATTGTGGTTGAACTTCACTTTCAACTAAGTTCATTTAACTACTTATTGTTAACTTCTCTCAGTATCTTTGCCCGGCCTCTACCGGTTTGCGCTGCTCCTTATAGCATATTTTTTGTCAATTACTATTTGGTGGTGTTTGTTTTTTTAGTAGAATATGTTTACAACACTCTAGCTTTAATGTTATGATTTTGGCTTAAGATTTAGAGAGAAATATTTTTGTGTGTTGGTAATATTGCTATTTATTCAATGTCGAGATTTCGACATCAATATACATCAATTAAAAGCCGCTTTTAGTAATCATGTTAGCTGTTGTTTGGATGGAACATAAACTGGGGACTAGTATTCTAACTTTATCTCTTTCTCGCCTTCAAAGCTGACATAACATATTTCTTCCCAGCTTTTGTAATGATGACTAAAAGCATAAAGCTAAACTAAATCTAAGCTCCAGGTTGCCTACACAGCATAGCATATCGTCTACATTTAATTAAGTAAAAAAGTTAACTAAGCCCGCTTTGATACATAGTCAAATGTGGCTGTAGTTATAACAGTATAGAAAAGTAATCTTTGTCAAAAATTGGATAATTTTTTTATGTAAAAAAATTATCCAATAATATCTATAGAAAAAGTAAGCATTTGTCAAATTGTGACATTTTACTATGTATATGACATGAAATCAACTAACAGTCAAAAACTGTGTTTCAAACAACGCGACCGAAGTAGTAAACAGTCATGAAATTAGTTAGGCTATAAATCTGTTTTTCTTTTTATTCGATATAATTATAGAATCCTTCTGTAATTTTATAAAAAATAAAAGTAATATTTATTGATTTTTGAAGGATATGAAGGATCCTAAACGGCCTGACGTTTAGGATCCTTCATAGACTTCGTTGTTTTTTTCAGGATTTGGTCGCAAGTATGAATTATTCAAAGTTTAGTCGTGTGGACAAGTCCAAAACATCTGGTATAAAAAAAAGAACACTGTACCAGTTCAAACATGTTTCTTCAAATGATTGGTGTGCACAAAAACAAGAAATAAATATACCTACATAATTCTGTTTAATGTTTTATAGCGTAATAATTTAGCAATGATTTCTTTCAGCTGCGGGCTTGGCGCGGACGCCCATGTACCCCTTCCCTGGGGGCACCTACCCTTACCCCATGCTCAGTCCTGAAATGTCACAAGTGGCCGCCTCGTGGTATGTTTCAAAAACAATATTGTACCAGATACTTACCCTGTTATGTGATTGTTATTGTCATTAGTATGTGATTAAATTTCTATTCTTTTTTTTATTATTTACAAAGATTAGTTCTTTTTAAATTCACAAAAGTATTTTATTGATTTTTTATTCATGGATGGTATTGAAAGTATTGTATACTGTCAGTAAATAAAAAAAATGTAAAAGAATAATAAATATCGAGTCCTAATAAAAAAAACGTCCTGCCAGTCTTGGTAGTTCGATGTTAAAATGCTTTGCATTCATCTAAACAATTTTGTTGCGTTTGTTTATCAGAAAATGGCGCTCTCAAAATGCCATCAAAATGACGCGTAAACGCAAACACGATATTTTAAATTTTAAGTAAAAACAAATATCTACGAGATATAGTATTTCATTGGTTTGCATGTTTCTAAAGCATTACTTGTCTCCGTGTATATTTCCGCTGAAACCTTTGCTTTAATACTATTGACCCTCGTTGAGTGTACGTGTTTGTCTGTCCAGGCACACCCCGAGCATGTATCCCATATCTTCAGCGGCGAGCGGCTTCCGGAGTCCGTACCCTACCTCGCTGCCGATACCAAGTTCTAGTCTATCAAGGTGAGATTGTGAACAGCAATTTGCCTATAAAGATTTTTGCATTGCTGGTATGTAGTTACTTAGGCACCTCACGCACTAGACGGCCACGACCACGTCCAGTGGCCGCAACAACCAGTTTAACTAAAGAAGACATATGAACGTCGCCTACTTGACCGTTGATCCTTGCGATTAATTTATGTATAGTTAGTGCTATGAGCGCTCGCGCACTACACCTGCGACTGCGGATGCGACCAGTATACGTATTCTTTGTAAACGTCAAATTTTGTATGTCATTTACGTAGACAGTGGCGCCCCCCTGAACTGTCACTCACATTCATAATGATCCTTGTCGCACTGTATGTGTGTCTCAAGCTCCTATCAGGCCCTGTCAGAACATCAGTGTTGATGCGACCATCTTCGCACCAGCTTTAGCTGAGACAGGGTCCTGGTTAACCCTTATTATCATTGGTAATTTGTATTCCTTCTTTTTTACGATATATTGTGTATAAGTAATGGGGGTAGTAAAAATATTTTTCTTTCTTTCCATTCTGCTATAAAGTCATAATCGTGTGTCAACGACATTTCCATCATTGTGATTTTTAATACAATTATTGTTACTAAAACACAAACTACAAAAACATTGCCCAACTCCCCTCTTAATTATATGAAATATATATAAAAAACAGTGACAAAACGACACACTAACCTGCGCCATCGAGCTCAAATGATACTAACGTAGGTATCATTATAAGTTACAATGATACCGACAATGATAATAATGATACCGTAGGTATCATTGTAGGTCAGAATGATACTAACGTATATATCATTGTAAGTTACAATGATGCCTACTTTGAAGAGTTCGATGGCATAGTGCATTCGGCCTGCGACCGTGTAAGTTTTTAACGTAGGTTGACATTATCCAGTACTCATCATAGTTTCCTCCTGCAGCGAATTATACCGGTTCTCTCCAACGCTGGGCGGAGGCCTAGGGCTCGGCTTGGGGCCCGCGCTGGTGCCTCCGCCATCGTCGAAGGCCGACGTCGATTCCTATCAGTCTCGGTACGCGAGGTAAGCAAATCTAATCTATCCAACTTTTACTGTGCGGTTACATACAAATTTTAAAATCGCTGTTAATTAGATTTAAAAATTCTAATGGACTGTAGTTATTTGTGAGTTATATGGTGAAAGTAGAGTGATATACACAGTTCATGCCAAATCAACGCCACCTTCGCAAGTGAACGCCACAAACTCCGTAGTCTAATGCACGGCGTTACGATTCTTTAGGGCAGCGGGATCTTACAACGAGGAAATAAAAATCTAATATCTATAGCACGGTTATGAAAACTGTAGAAATTTTGGAGAAACGTTCGTCCTGGATGCGCTCAATGTATATAGAGTAGTTGAGCAAACAAAAAAAATACACGACCAAAAAAGTGAATCTTAATATACCCTCTTAATATTGGGCAAGAATTGATGCACCTCTCTAATGTTCCTAATACTCCAGTGTTCCAACACAGGCCTTTCATCATCAGCTTATTAATGCCCCCACTGCTGGGGCTCTGCTTCCCTTTGGATGGAAGACCCACCACGCGGGTCCGGGGCTGATTGATGGCCTTTCATTACAACATCACAATGAAAAAGGAAATAACATAGGAATAAAATAAGCCGTAAACTATCACCCATTTTCGCTTACCCATCCGACAGTTCTAAAGTTTCTGGTTTCAATCTCTGCTTAGTTTTTAATTAAAGCAGTTCAATTTAAATCTAAAGAAAATTCATGCGGTCAAGGCATCAGACAAGATTTATTCTAGTAAAAATTTCTCTTTTTTGTCCCATTTCGTATTATAGGGAAAAAATGAAAAGCTATATTAATTTGTCATTCATTATTATTTTTGATGTAGCGGATAATTTTTCATTTTGATTGGGTGATCAATTTTTTGGGAAATAAGTTTTATCCGAGAATTGAAAATTCTACTCTTATAAATCTAAAAAATAAAAAATTATATAAAAAAAATGTAAGTTATATTCACTACAGTATAATATCATAATAAGTAAAGTATTTTAAAGAGCAAATTGTAATTTAGTAAAGTTACCAAAAATAAAACATAAGCGCACTAACTACGAATAAGCCGTTATTATCAACTGTTAAATACGAGACAATTTTCAAAAAATTAAGTCAATTAATGTACTTCAAACATGCAAGGTGACACAAGCAATAAAAATTTTATCGAGAACCTCCGGGCAACTGAACGTAAAGACGACTATCATTAATTACCTTATTAATATAATGAAATACATAAAAATTAAGAAACACGATAAAATTTTATGTACACACGTGAAATAAGGCAAATGCATTGAAAATTGCCCTCTAATAAAAAGATTGATAACATCGCAAATAACAGTGATCGCATCTGGTCTAAATATGCGATACTCCAGGGTGGGTATTATCACTGTTACGTACTCATTGATACGATCTTTGTGATACAACACGCGCGAGGGGTGTCGTTAGGGTTGTACCAAGTTTTTTTCGCATGATCCAATTTGCTATAGGTATTTCTATGTCAAGAATTATATTTTTTATTTTTAACTCATATAGACAATAATAAAGTTTATGAATGAGTTGCAAATAGTAATCTATTTTAAAACATTATCATTATATTTTTTTGTTTCAATTGTGTTAGTAAAATAAAAAACGCGTTACAGTTTTTATACAGGCAATAGTAATCTTATTGAACGCTTTGCGATATTGTTAACAAACTCGTAATCTGTTTATTTAAACGTTATTAATATACAACTTTAATATGTTTTTATTCAATTACCTTAATATTAAAAAAATGTCATCAAATTAATCGCATAATTTCAGCATTACTTTTTATATTAATGATGCTTGCTTCCTGTAGCTGTCAACCCTAGCGTAAGTCGTAAAAAATGGCACCTATCGACGCGTGCGCACTTTATTGAAACATTTACCCGAACTGTTATTACAAATTGCAATTTGACGCAGATTGTAGGTTTTATAAACGTAATTAGTACTTGTTTGCGCTCGATAAGAATCATAACGCGTGCATTTCGCGAACTTGAGTGAAATCAAGCAATTATCTCTTAAAAGCTTTTAATTTTGATATTTATCATAACAATATCATGTCGACGAATGATCGTTATATTCTCAACTGGACGATAAAAAGGGCTGCTACAGTAATAAAACAAGTTAGTTTAACAGTAAAATATACAGAATTGCCCAAGTGGACCTTTTTTTCTGTCGTAAATAAATCAATTAATTTTATGATTACCTTGGTATTTAGATAAGCCAAAAAGCTATTTTATTCGATATTTTCTTGTGATCACATTATTTTATATATTTATTATATCTATCGCTGGTATTTAAGTAAAACATCAGGAATTCTTATTATTTTCACATAATATTTACTCTACTTATTTTCTAGAAAGGAAATTCTCATCTGCCCCAATCGGGTTTTGAACCTCGATACCTCGGTTTCGCAATCGCTGACCATACTCGTCTCGTCAACAAATTGATTAATTATCATTACAAGAGAGAGAGAGAGATTACGTTTATTTTGTTTTGAAATCAATGATGGTTTATTAGTTTCGTCAAACTATCATAGAAGACTGATTAGCTCTACAAATCAAGATCAGAAATCGAATCCAGAAATCAAAATGTTTCCAGGTCAATACGACCCAAAAACCGTTAGAAAAGCGTACAGTTCCTTCCTTAAAGGTCGGAATCGCCTCCTGTGGTCACTAACCATCAGATGAACCATAGAAATCATAACTTGACCAAAACTTGGTTCTGATTGCGTCGTTGCTCTCTAGTGTGAGCGCTGATTGGGTCGATTGTTTGATGTCGCGTCGTTTCATTGGCTATTATCTATTAGTTGGAAGTGTACTGGGGTCGAGCCGGCGACATCGGTGCCCATACCAACGGCCTATGATCACCCTTATAAACTATTTCTGTTTTTTTCGAGTGAACCGTCTGCTCGTATATAAAAAAAAGTTCATATTCCAAAGTTCACACACAACATTTTTGGCTTGGGGTACCGTCGCTACCGTCGTTACAAACCTCCATAGTGCCCTATACCTAACTGATGTCGGAACGTGGATACGGCTTAAAATCCGGCGGAAAACCGTATCGTTAACAATTGCTCGTTAACAATATGCGTCCAATACATAGTATATTTCTGTTAAATTTTGACAAAAACTTTTCTTTTAATCTAGTATTTTAATTATAGTCAAATTAAATATATATAAATCCACGCAGCCGTCTTACACTTCTTTAAAAACATTGAAAAACAAACAGCCTATCGCTTTGTAATCATCCATACACTTTCCAAAGAACTCGTCACGCTTTAAAAAAAACTATTTTAAAAGGGAATATGTAATCATACACGTTTTCGACATGTCCACTCAAGAGAGCGTCACTCAAAAAATACATAATCATCGTGGATAAAGGTAGGTCCAGACAGGCAGCGGGAAACAGAAAACAAACTTGTTTTGTAAATATTCACTGCAATGAGAAGCACAATTTAAATCAACAAAAATCAGTACAGTATGTTTGGATGACTCGTTACTATATGAAGAAAACAGTCGATTCCTAAATATTAGACACACACTTAAGATAAAAGTGAACTTTGCAATAAAGCTTTGTTATTTATTTTACAGCTCTTGTCTAATGTACGTCACGAGAACAGCCTTATTTTAAGACACATTTAACCAAAAAAAACTGCAGAACAGTTGCGTACAATTTTATAATCATACAATAAATACATACTTGTCCATAAAAAATGCGTTGTTTTCACTTGTTATTAGTCGGTGCTAAAAGACACATCAATATCTCGCCTTCACTGACGCCACACCTTTACATATGAGTCCAGGTACAGTGATGTAAATAAGACGCTGGAGAAATTTAATTAAGATGATATATGAGACGCCCCGCTTTAACGGGCTGCTGTAACGTGTACCGTCAGCAGCTCAAGTGACGACAGTTTTTATTTCCGAGATGATTTTTATGCGACGCTCTTGACATTAATCAAGAGTTATAGACCGATGCATATGATCTGGAACTCGTTCCTTTAAAGATTTTACGGTGCCATATCTGACATATATTTGTAAATATACCGTTTAAAAGTCTATAAACATTGAACGATTTATTTCTTGGGTTTATAAAAAATCATGTTAATTGTATTATATATATTTTTGTCTAGCTCTGCAATAATCGTGCTACGCTCATACATAGTAAAAAATACAATTAAAATTTACTTTCTAAATAAGATTAAGTACTATATTTACAATACCTTCATATATGCGTTTTTTTTTTAATCGTAACAAATAAAAATACAATAGCTGTATCCAGTATTTTCAAATTTCCACACTAATATGCCGACAGTACATAACAATCATTGCCACCGAATGCCTCGTTCATTGTGTCCAGATTCCTTTTATATCTTTTCTTTTTTTACCTTTCTCATTTTAAACCAAAAGGAAGTCATATATTTCAAAGTTCTCTGAACTAATTTACTGTATAAAACTGTTCATCGGCCGTACCTACTGAACATAATGTCACAAGTGTTTTATTTTATAGTCTCTATTTCAGTATTGTTGTGAATCCATCCTTGTTTCAGGAAGTCGTTCTTCACCTATCATTGGATGATTTTTTTCTAATTCCAACATGTTATTTTAGACCGAATCCTGTTTCGTGTCTCCCAATAAAGTATGTAATTAATGAGTTGGATTTTCCCGTCCAGTGTACTATGCGTTTTATCGATTGCAATAAAACATAAATTGTCTCATGATAAGTTATTTTATTAGGTATAATAAAATATCCATCAAGTCGTGATATATATACACGCTTAATAGAATATAGATAATAGCTTGTGTAAACATTTGTGTTAAAACTATTTCGAGTGGGATATCTAATGAAATGACACCGAGAACTGATAAAATATTTATAAGTAACTTTGATTAGTTACCGTGATAGAGTCTTCTAATTAATTGTTTTAATTTGAAAATTCTCTAATTTATAAAAAAAACAAATAATAGCTAAACTTATACAGGAAAAGTTTAACTAGAATAAAGTTAAACACATAACTTTTTTTATGTTATAATTTAACAAGGCGTGCCCGAAATGCTTACAATTGATTCAATTTCAAAGTTTGTCATTATAAAATAAGGTACCCATATCATGTAAATTATAACACAATCTTTACCATTGCAAAGCTAAACACAACCATCTGATGACAATTAATTAATAGACATTTTTATATCAAGAAATGTATCTTACGGCACACCATATTCTTTATTGTTATGAACCTTAAAGTCTAATTCATAAAGTTCCTTTGTGAACGGTATATGCGGACAATACGACTCCCGATAGCCGCATGCGACGGATTGTAGCAAAGCGTGCGCTTGCGCAGCGGAAACGGAGCGTCTATTTCGAACCGGACGCGCGTTTGTTTACTGTCTGTCTGTTTGTCGTTAACACCTAAACTCGTTAACATATTGATCCCCGGCCCGCTAGATATGTCCAGTAACATAGCACGTTTAGTTGGTTTACTATAGTAAGGTCAGCAATGAAAATTGTAACGCAGCTAATAAAATTTTTCATGGTAATGAGCTAGCTAATTGGTAATTTAGAAATAATTACAATGTTCTTTGTAAACATATTTTATAGATAGGTGTGCGTCTTGTGAACGAAAATATTGTTGCTATTGTTTAATAATACATACATTGTGTTTACTTATTTTTAGACCAGGAAATGAAGTGCTGTTTGTTGATTAATGTTTTGACATTTAGTTTGCAAATAGGTAAAAATGTATTATCGTTCATGGGCAAGAATTTTTCTAGTTACTTCCATTTAAGTAGAACAAAAAATCACTTTATGTATAGTTATGTAGAACTGTAGGTGAATTAGGAGATGGTTAATTTTTAAAATTGTGAAAATGTAAATAATATTATATAAGTATTCATTAGATGTGCAGAACATCTAATCTGTGTTATGATTGGCAATTATTAAAATATCCTCAAGATATCTTTAAGCTAAACAAGATACAGCCTAACTGGTCAACAGTTGATGACTTCAGCATGTTTGAAATATTATTGCAAGGCGTTTAGTTGTTAAGATGATTTGATTGTACAGCGGGCAGACATAAATGCATGCATTTAAACTTGTCCAATCGTTCCGACAGCCTGTTTTCATATGTATATTTTTTATTTTGATATTAGGTAACATATTTTTTTTATTATTACAGAAAAACATGAACGTTTGTAAATTTTATTGATATAATTTTATTGTGGAGTTTGTTTCGCCCATTCTTCACCACAGCAGCAGTCGAAATCGGGTGGTAAAAAAAAGTTGGTCGATTCAGATAACTTACTACAATTTGTGTAATGATCTTAACCTTAACTATCAGTTATAACTTCAGGAACATATTTTTACATTAGTAAAAGTACGTAGAGATTTCCATTGTGATAACATCTTTTGGCAACAGCTGTGTATTCCGAAACAATAGTAATAGCTTGCCAATGCATCGTCTAAAAGTGTTACTGAAAATAAATTATTCTCTATGGACTTTAATCGTTTGCCCGATAAAGCTTTCTCAACACACTTACACACTCACTTCCAGGTCAATTGATAAGGGTAGCGGCAGCTCAGTGAGCGATAAGCCGACCGAGAGCTCCTCAGCTAACAGCAAGGAGCAAAACAAAAAGCCCCACATCAAGAAACCCCTCAACGCATTCATGTTATACATGAAGGAAATGAGGGCCAAAGTGGTAGCCGAATGCACCTTGAAGGAGTCTGCGGCGATCAATCAGATCTTAGGCAGACGGGTGAGTTACAACCGAATTTATATATTTATGTTATTTTTTTTTCGTTTTCTCGTTTCCAAAATTTTTTTGTACGTGACTGTATCTTATCGTCATTTAGGGATGTCCCTCTGATTTTTTTAGTTTTATTATTTCTTATATTATTAGGTATAACTTTTTATATCAAGATGATGTTAGATAGCTCTGTTTGCAGCACAGGAAACCTTTAATAGCTTGACATATTTGTTTAATAATTTTCAGTTTACTTCAAATATATCGTTTTGGTAAAAAAAGATATCCCTAAAATGTTATGCACACTTTATAATATTCAGTATATTTTACGATTATACGAACAAAGAACAATATAAAGTATTATGCTAATCAATAGAAAACTTTATTTTTGGGGTGGGGCCACACACATTTTTGTTAACATGGGTTCCAATATTTCGATATATTGTTTAATTCTGAACTTATCATATACAATTATTCACCAAGGCAAAACAAAACCTTTATATAAAAAAAATATATAGTTTTCTTATCTGTTATTGATTTTGATTTCCTTTAACAAAGTCTGATTTTGATTATGCTAGTTGGAAGATAATCGACCTACATCGAAGCGAATAGCTCTTTAAGTGGCTCAATCATCGGAGATGCTTCTTGTTTCTAATACTAATTGGACTAATGTGGCCTCGCTTAACTATTTTATTTTTTTTATATTTCCATTAATCAAATACATATTAATAGTATTCGTTATATTAATAGCAACAAAAGAAGCAAATCCATTGTTAATCTTGTTAGGAATGTGAATCACTATAGTACAAGCGAACCAATATGTTAGCAAACAATGCCCTCTTATCAGCGAGATCACCACATGTATTGAATTATAAAGAGTACCACGTGAAACCGGTAGCGGGAATCGAACCCGAGACCTCGGTTCTTGGAACCCGTCGACTCTCATTCCCAGCAAGAGTAACCGTTTGTATTGTAATGAAACATAGAAAAAGTTGTCTCAAAATTTCGTTGTTTTTAATAAGTTTTTTCCCGATTGGTGAATTCTCGTTTGGACATTCTTTATGGGCAGTGAAATATGTTTAAATCACTTATTGGATCTTTTATATTTTCTTCAATATTTTTACAAAATTTGTCTGGGCATCACTATCACTATGTCTAAGAAATTTTTACTTTCCTTTTAGTACACCAACCAGGTCTACATTCAATTCAAACAATTCTTTGTGTGTCTATAATTCCCGAATGATTGCATTTTCAATTTCGAAATCCTGCCAGTCGTATTTCATTGGCCATAAAGTGTGCAAACCGCGTGCTCACCAACCGGGCAGGGGAGTGTCCGTTGACGCGTCACGCGAGATGTGTGAGATGTAACGCAACCCATGTCGCACAGTGGCACTCGTTGAGTCGAGAGGAGCAGGCAAAATACTATGAAAAAGCGAGACAGGAGCGCCAGCTCCATATGCAGCTGTACCCAGGATGGAGTGCCCGCGACAACTACGGTTACGGTTCCAAAAAGAAAAAGCGGAAAAAGGACCGAAGTCCAGCCGAGCTGGGAGGTACTTGGTCTCATGATCACGAACCGAGGGGTTGGAACGCTTTGTACACTCGCTTCCCCACCCGCCACCCGCCTGCGGGCCCACTAACCTCCCACTCCCGTATATGAGTGTGCGTGTGTGTGTTCTGCCTGTACCCGCGGCGCTGTGCTAGAAAAGCGGCCGCACGTCTAGTGCGGATCGGGAGTACGGCGCCCGCGCAATACATTGGTGTTAGTCGTCGAGTGTTATACTTACTTATGATTATTACCCTCCCACGAAAACATTGGTTTGTTAAATATCTAGAGAGCGCGACTCCTGTACCGCAGAATAGGTTCTGAGAGGAACGTCACAATTGGCCATTCTCATTCTAACCAAACATTAGGATCAAAATTTATCTCACGGTGTTCGCGACGCGTGCGTTCGTTCGTTCGTTCGTTCGGTCGGTCGGTCAGATGCGCGGGCTGTTTTTCTAGCACCACTTGCGCACGGCGATTCAACGTCGAAAGTGCAATTTCTCTTTTTTTCCATATTGCGGCGCGTTTAGTGGCATGCGCTCGGACGCGAGGAGCAGGCAAAGTATTACGAGTTGGCCCGCCGGGAAAGGCAGCTGCATATGCAGCTATATCCCGATTGGTCGTCTAGGGCTAATACGCAAAGGGGCAAGAAGAGGAAGCGAAAACAGGAGACAACCGATGGAGGTACTGCCTATGAGTCGGTCGCCAACGTTTACACCCGCGTCCCGCACGGGGCGACGCCCGTCTCGCTCGCTCATTAAAAAAACGAGGTCAATTAATACAGGATTAAGACTGGAGACGCTCGTCGCTTCCCTCCCGCACCTCCCCCCCTCCCCCGGGTTCAATTGCTTTGAACTCCGGACAGAAGGACAGTAATATTGCCGAATGTCTATGGTTGGGGTACCAGGTTGTAGATTTTTATATCAGTACTATTATTATTTTTTTAAATATCTATCGCATTTATTGTTTTTTTTTTACAAATATTTGTTTATATTCTTATTCTCCTTTGGTTTTTTATTGTAATTACAAACGCTATATTACATTTATATATTGAGACACCCTGTTAAAAGTGGCGCTCCTTCGAAGGTTGTCCCGGTTTTTGGCTTACCATTCTGCTCCGCAAACCAGACATAGTATAGGGGAGCTGCATGTTTCCACAGTTTGAACACTTGAATAACGCTTTGCAGGGACTTAGACAAGTGTCTTATAAGGCTGGGACAGCCTTCCCTAGAGGACCTTTGTATGCAAGGAGTATGAGGCATGGAGGAGCCGCATTGGTCTGCGAGTGGAAGCTGGACTATGTAGATAGCAGAGATACGATGCTAGCTGTTCAGTTCAATGATACTGGCCAAAGAACATGATTTATTTTGATTCCGGAGAACCTATTCTGCTTAAATTTTGCTTACAAGCGTCATCTTTATTTGTGAACTTTTTTTTAAGCAGCAAAAATGTAGTTAGCTATTATTTTTCGACATGCGAGTAGTATGTTTGGTTGGAACCAATGTTTTGTTTCTTCCGTCAATCTCCCGTTCATTTCACTCCCATTCCCGTCCCAGCATGAACTAACATGTAAAGGGGTTACTGCATGGCTTGTTTCGTAGTGCGTAGTTTGTATGAGTAATTGATTATTTGTGAAGTCGCTTCAAATATGATTTCAGGTAAATTATTTTACGCTGTATAAGTTACTTTGGTGATTGATGATGACATTCGCAATATTTTTTTCCGAATCACATATTTGAACCGAAAGAATTTACACGACATCATATTTTTTATTTTGTTGTATCCAATTTGAATCCAATTTACTTACCTTTTGAATCGAGTATTTTACCGTGTTGTTTAGTTGTTTACGTATTCAATTGATGACATGTTAGTTTGAGATATCTTTTTAGCTTTACTACTGTTTGTCTAACAGACTTTATGCGGTGTTTTCAGGGAATAATTTGAAGAAATGTCGGGCGAGGTACGGCCTTGATCAACAAAACCAATGGTGCAAACCTTGCAGGTGTGTGTGTGCCCTTAATTTTCTATTACATATTATTATTATCATATATAATGTTATTTTTTGGTTCGCTTTCTTGGTCCGCGTGAATTTGGCCTCCGCAGCCATCCAAATGTTTCTATGTGGAAAGACTTGGCTTATTCATTTAGTCTTTTTCTACGACAAAAGCCTGGTCGTAAAGTCTTCTGTAGCATTTATTTTTTTCACTATATAAGTAAAAATAGTAGTTTGTCGTTCTTTATGTTTTCTTTATTGTTATAAAAATGTTTGTTTATTAATTTAATTTAAATTAAAGAAACAAAAGAAAATGTACACGCTCAGTTTTTAGATTTAAGTTTAATGAGAGCGTTTGCTTATTCAGAAAATGTGTCTTTTCACAAAGAAATAAAAGTAAATCGTAGTTCTCTACACCACGAACTAGATTTTTTTGAAAGTAGACCCAAGTGTGAAGACGTAGATCATAGGATCCATAGTGTTATATACTAGAGGTGGCCAGGGAAAGGGCAATCATTTGTCGATGAAAAAAGAAACATATTTAAAAAAAGAAATAAAGCTTTCAAAAAAATCTTGACACATTTTCTGAATCGCACTCGCTTTTTTATCGATATTGTTATAATTGTTATTATTATGTGAACATAAGTATTATTTTACTGATCTCAAATTGTTTTCTCCACTCATGATTGCCGCTTCTCACGGACCGATGCTGTAACGCCGGCACTATTGGTGAATTTTACCATGTATTTTCTCACTATTACTACCTCTTAATTGTTTGGTTACTTTTGTTTTTGACATTTTTTTTAATCGACGCTACTTGATTCTACGCAATTATTGAATGTTTGGTCGTTCTTCTCTTTCTGTAATTTTTATATATCATTTTGTCTCTAATATCTTATTTCCAATTCTAACATTTGTTATTAACACATCTCACATCTCAACATATTACACATGTGGTCTCAAATAAATATTTTCTTTCTTTCTTTCTTTCTTTTCTTTCTTTCTTTCTTTTCTTTCTTTCTTTCTTTCTTTTCTTTCTTTCTTTCTTTTCTTTCTTTCTCATTCTCCCCTCTTATTACTATCATCTGAAATGCCATTTTTCTTTAAATGTTTCTTTTACGAAAATGTCCATTAACTTTGGCTCCTTTCTTTTTTCTACAACTTCCTTATTTTTTCTTTCTTTCCGCTTTATGTTTTAAATTAATTACTCATATTCTCACCATTTCCTCTTCTCCATTGTTTAATTGTTTTTTCCAAAACCGTACTCGTATTTACCTCTCCCTTTTTCGGCTCTCAATATTTGTCTATTCCTTCCCCTCCTCTTCATCGTCATGACTTTTTCATTGTTCCTTTCAAAACTATACTCACTTTTTCTTATCCTCCGTTTCGAAACGTTCTTATATCTGCATATTTTCTGTTTCTCTTGCAATCTCTCCATTTCATTATTCCTTTCTCTCCATTTTCGTTGCGTCCATCGAAACATTTATTCCCTTGCACATTTTCTCCATTTCTATTTTCCTTTCCACAATTCTCTATTCCTTTCTCTCCTAATTTTACTGCGTCCATTGAAAAATCATCCTCTTCACCTTTTCGCTGCGTCCCCCTGTTCTTTAACCTGTACATGCTGCTGTGTCCACCGCAACGTCCTCTTCTTTATCTCCTTACTACATCCATCAAAACGTCCTCTCTGTTCGTCGTTACGTCTCTCGTCCTCGGTGTTCCATTTACTGCGTCACATCTAAACCACCTTGTCCTTCATTCTTATTCGTCAACCAAAACATCCTTCTCCTCACTGCGTCCACCGAACGCTTTCTTATTCCTCTCTCTTCGTTTTGTTGCACCCACTGAAACACTTTCCTCTTTCTCTCTTCGCTGCGTCTATCAAAACCCACTTTTTCCCTTTTCGTTGCGTCCACCGTCACATTGTTGTTATCACCTCATCGCTGGGTCTTTGTAAACTCCCTCCTCCTCTATCCCCCTTTTTTCCCCCCGCGCAGCCCAGAATCAAGTAGCGTGCTAGTGGGCGGGGGGCTGGGCGCTCCGCTGGCCGGCAGCCCCCCGCAGGAGCCCACGTACGTGAACCTCTAGTGCCGGCGCGCCCGAGCCCCGGGACCCACACCCACTACGGTCAGTCGCCATGCGTGCCGACACATAACTACTTACTACGATAGATTTGTGACTATTGCTCGATCGCGACACTTTGGCGCCCAATGTTTCCCAGTTGTCTTCTAAGCCGCGTAGTTTAGCAAATTTCTAATTCATAAAAGTATATTATACGGCTCTGGATGAATCTTATGTCCACTTGCAGCAATATTGCTAAATTCTCAATTTAACTAATACTAGATTAAGCTCATACAATAATGTCATATTGACATTCATCTTTTGACATTTTTCTACAGAATTTTAGGTTTACTAGATCGAGATTTAGAAAATTTGTTACAAGTGGGCCTAAACCGCATAGTTTGGAATGTTGCTAATCCAAAAAGTAATGCGATTAATACACGAATCGATGAGAGGCGAGAGAATTTCACTAATATTAGGGAAATTAATAATCCAAATATTTGGGAAAAATTACTTAAAAAATTTACGCGTTGTGTTTAAATGGCGTTTGAAATATCGGGAAACTAAACTATTTTAGCTCATTCTGTTATGTTGTAAATGTTTATTTTTTCTTTTTTCTTTGTATCTGAGAAATAAGTCTATCTGACATTGTATATATATAACATTCAGAAAATATGTACTTTAAAAAAACTTTATCGGAATCATGACGTGATAATTTTGGAAGAATGTAAAAATACTCTGACCACCTAAATATCCCGAGAAGTTAATAATATTAAAATGACCAGTGGACACAACATTAAGAACGCCTTCTGTAAGCTGTAAGTGTCTGAACCAACATGGTAAAGAAATGGTCAAAGTAGGACTATCTTCTACAGCAACGTATTGTATTTAGACAATTATTTATTCAATACGACTGCCTTTTCCTTGCCTGAGATGACAACTGGGAATAATTGGTGCCATATAAGCAGTTTCAAACTTTGTAACTTTTTAAAACGCAAGCAAATGGTTTTAAACGAAAACTAGAATTATATAGGGCCTTCTTCTCGAGTGAAAAACCTTGCTTTAATAGTTTTTGCAGTAAGTAAAGTTTCCATAGCTCCATTGGATACAAGATAACATGCTCCTCCTGAACTTTTTTCCATAAAATAATTCAGATGAATATACCCCCTTAATATTCCAAATTCCGATAAAACATCATTTTTGAACTTTTTCTATTCCTAGACTGGGAATAATTTAATGTCACAGCTATTTTTATCTCTGTATCTGGGTATACTTAATTTCGATAAACCAGTAGTATAGACGTGTACTTTTATTACTACTAAATCCGATACTTTCGTTGGATTCATATCACTATTAGTCAGAAAATATAAATTGAATGCGTTACGAAAGTTTCAAAGTATCGATACTGCTATCGGAATATCAGTGTTGTCGTGCTTCTAACGTGTTCGCGCTTTTTTGAACAAAATGCGCGTCCGTTTAGTAAGTTTCATGGGATGTTGGTGTTTAGTCTTGTTTTCGATTGCTTATTTACATCTAAAGTCGCATTAGTACTGTTTGACGTTATATAATCGGCGTACACCAACGTCGCTACGAAATTTGGAATGATTAGAAATGTTGCGTTTTTGATGTCGTTCGTAGGAATTGAGTGTGTTTTTATTTTCGTAGGTGTAGATGTAAGCTTATTTTTAGTGCGTTTACTTTTTATTAATCTTAAACGAGTTCGATTGTCGATTCGTCTTAATTTTAACGTTAATTTTAAAACTACGCATGTGTGTTCGTTCCTACTTATAAGTTATACAGAGTGTTTTAACATTTCTTTTAGCATGGCGTTTCGTAACGTTTCTTCGTGTTATTTTTGACGTTTTCTTTGTCTGTAGGTTAGTTACACAGCATAGAACCTTATTTCTGTTCTCAAACTAATCCGAAAACAGATTTCGAGCATGAACGAGAAAAGAAATGCGGTCCTAACGCGCATCCTTGTATGACTCCTATTTGAATGTTTTTGTATTGCAGGCGGAAGAAAAAGTGCGTACGATACATGGAAGCGCTGGCGGCGGCGACGGGCGGCATGTCAATGCCGATGGCGACCCCACAGTCCCCTTGCTCTGAGGAGGATGTGAAGTTAGAAGAAATGTCGGATGCTTCGAGCGACGGAGACGCAGATACCCCGCTCAATTCCGCCTCCAGTCCGGGTGGGTTGAGCGCGTTATCCTCTCTAGCATCCCCCGCGTCCGACCCTCCGGCCAATAACCCGCCTCGCAACCCCGTCGGAACCAATCCGCGAGACGCCAACAACCCTCTATCAGTCGGCCAGCTAACCTCGCAGACTTGGCCGCGAGCCGCGCAATCCCGCCCCGGACACGAGGTCATCTCCGTCTCATAGTCGCTGTGGAACCGGTGCTCGCCGACTCTACCCCGGGTAACATCGAAATCGCCACAGGCGAGTGGACTAATAGCGCCATCTCTAGGTAACAATTGTGATAACAATAACCACGCCATCTGTGAGACGCTTCCGGTAACGAGTCGTGCGCGCCTCGGCTTTTCAATAGATTGTGTAGGACTCTCGGACGTTTACTTAGTGTTTCATTACCTTCGTACTGGCGCATATTATCGGGTGCTAAACTGTGTGAAAGCTAGGAGTACCGGCATTTTACTGAACTGCTTCGCTTTACTATCGTGGAATTTATGATTTTTTGTGAATTTTTAAAACTTGTCAACTTTGTTTTCAATCGAATTTAATTATGAAATGGCCTAATAGATACTCTTCCGAATGGTGTCTGCTTAAATCCAAATGTGCGGTATTTCTTGCTGTCACGCGATAACTTAAGGGAGTGTTACGTTATTTAAAAGTGATACCATGAAACAAAACTATATTATATCATCCCCATATATAATACCGTAAGGACGGTCGCCTGTCAATGATCTCAAAATTACGAGTCCAAATCGAGTCATTTACTTTGCATTTTTAATCTATAATTTTGATATCCAATAGATAGATTTTACATTTATAATACCATGAGCTGTAATCGACATTTATTTTGATATCTTCAAGAAAATGACAAGAACAGAAAATATATGTCGTTGCTACTCATATTTCCACGATCATGTTTTTCAATTCTGTGTCTCTGTTTTTTCAAAATATTTGCAAAAAACATCCATTTTAATAATGGACTTAGTCATGACTTTTAGCCATTGATATAATAGGAAATTAACAATATTTTTTATAGCGAGGCAGACAACTTGTAATTTCAAATTGGGCAACTTTTTAATTTAATACAAAATAATTTGTGACAAATTAGAACGGATGAACTGCCATGCTTACGAAAAGTGTAATTAATACCATTTTACAGAAATATGGTTTTTTTTCTATTAATATTGTTACACTTCTCGTTGGAATGTCAGTAAGCAAAACTTGATGAATTATTTTCTGTTAAAATAAAAAGTTCCTTGTCGACATTTCACTCGGGCGATTTAGGCCTCTGTTGCTCTCTTTATAAGGATGTTTCCTATATTGCTGTAAAAAAAATGTTACTTAAAACAAATTTAGTAAACAATTTTTACGCATTGGTAAAATCAAGTTTTTATTTCTTCGGCAACTATGTGGTGGTTGTTGAAGCGGGAAAGAAATATATGAATAATTTTATCTGATGAATTAGTTTATAAAGTGCAAAATTATTAAATGTGTACTTAATTATGTAGTGCTTTTATGATATTTCCATATAACTATATTCTGTGTAATTGCAACATTATAAAAATCAATTTGAAGATTTTAACGTTTTTATTAAAAGATTTTAACTACTTATTTTGTTAACTCAAAGGCATTGAACAGTATAACCTCTTTGATATGTTGATGTATTCATTGTATGCGAAATGATTTATTGATGTAATAAGCACAATATTCTTTATACTTATCCACCACATAAGTTGCTTAGACCCTTTACTTTCCTATTTTAAGCGGCCTGCACCAGATAGGTTCCATGTAGCGTTAGAAATTAAATTTTAGTTCATTTTCCCTTCGCAATCGGCTCTGTATAAAGTTAATGTTAAGGCATGGCGCAGGGAAAATTGTTTTTCCGTTGTACGGAACTTGTTAGACTGTCGTAGGTTAGTTTAGAAGCGGCGTACGAGTGACATTATTATTAAGGCGTTGTACCGAAATGCCCTTTACGTTGTGTTTGGTTGTTGGAAAGAAAAATAACACTTAATTTTTTATAGTCACAGCTTTGTTCTGCATGAATCTGTATATAGCGCCATCTATTGTGTGACTGAGGAACTATGGAGAAGTAACGTTCCGAGAAAATGTTTTGTTGCAATAAAATCGTTGTTTTGTTAAAATGATTTACAAAAGGTTATTTTTGTAAAGCGTTGAGTTATGCTACTTCGACGTTTCATAATTATTATTATTTTATGCATGCATTTGTTTGTTGATGATGAGACGATTACTAAAGGGCATTTTGGCGCAATGTTAAACTTTTGTATATGTGTAAGTACATACATAATGTAAAATGTATAAAATATAGTTTTAATCTAACTGTGTCATACTAGCGTGTAAGTTGTACTATGCTACTTACCTATACAATATTATTCTATAAAAATGATTTTAAAGAAAAAATATTAGTTGAATACTGGACTCTGAACGAAATTAACTATCATAAAATACATATCTGGCGTCTGCATTATTTTATTATTTCGATGAACCCCCAGATTTATATAGGACTGGAGTATGTAAATAAATTTTTAATTCACGAATTGAATATTTAGAAGATTTGGTATATTATGAAAAAAAATATATTGCATTTATATTATTGTAAAATGAAAAGTGATTGAGCCCTTGGTATGTTCTCGGATGGTTTGTTTTATTCAACACGACTTTTGTTGATTACGTTTTTTTGTTATCATTAAGAATTTTAACTTTGTTAATTGCAATATCGATAAACATGACTCAGGAAAATAAAACCAATTTTAGGCGTTGATTGAAATATTTTTTTAAAAGATTATTTGGATCTACAATCGTATGAAAAAGCATGTAATTGAGTATAACGACAATGATTTATCATTGATATAAATAGTTATTTACACATTGACCAATGTTCCCAAATTAGACGGATCAGTCGTACGATTTTGCATGAAAACGAATTTGTGCAATAATGAATATTAATGACTACTGTATAGTCTTCTAAATATAAAGTAGAAATTTCTTAAAATTAATTTTTAAGGTATTTTCGCGAGGAAAATATTGATTTAGATTTTTTTTTTATTTTAATCGAGAATACAATGATTTTTTATTTTCTTTTTCCCTCTTCATATTATTATTTGTGACCTCTATATTTTTTTGACAGTAATGTAAGTAAACCCGTGCCAAAACCATCTAGAACTGTAAACGGAATGCGAGGGTAATAAGTTTCATATTATTATTATTTAAATAAAAATACCACGAAAAAGGGAAACAAGAAAAAATATAAACGCGTCTAATTGACTTGAAAATTAATTTTCAATACCAGTCACGGAAAGCATTGTTCATAGTTTCTTTATTTTAGAGGGATAGGGAGAGAATATTTTTTCCTGTTTCCAAAGTTCGTGTTGCAAACATTATACATATATATATATGAATGGACAGTAATCGTTTAATATTATAATATCTGTGCCAAATTTAACTTTACGAACACCGTTGGTTTATGCCCTTACCTCTGAAAGGTCTTATGTTGATAGATTTTATAGGTTGTTTTTATTATTAAGATGGTAAAGACACACGGCTCCCGCGAGCCGTATTATTATTATTTTTTGTAGAAAGAAATTGTCAAATTAGTGAACTCAATTATTAGGTCTGGTCCCGTCGTGTCTTGTGTTCAGTTGAACGAATATTATTTTAATAAACAACTTAAAAATTGTATGGGATGGTTTTATTTCCTTATAACGAGAAGTTTTTAATTTTAAATCTTATGGTTATTTTACGACAGTCATCCTGTATTTTTTTTTTCTCTTTATTTAAAGGACTTTTATCTTTACAGACATGTCAGTGCCATCGTGTACTTATATAAATTAACAAATCATCTAAGCCAATTATCGTAATATGTTATTGTCGGAAGAAAGTCGCGGCAGACATATAAAGCGGTACAGCATTCTGGCCTCTTCCGAGACCGGTTGGGCCAGAATGCAGTGAAACACACCAATGTCTGACATATTCAATTTTCATTTTTTAACAAACTCTTGTCTCTCATTATGGTACCGGACACAATCCATCAACAAGTGCTGGAGATCTTCTACGACACAGCATACTTCACAGTTGGGAGAGTCAATTTTTTTTGATAAGATGTCCAAACTTGTTACATGGATAATGTCCAGAACGAAGTCTATTTAAGGTCACTACAAAGTGTCGACTTAATGTTAAATTAATAAATCACGGTATTCGTAGAGGCTGACTCTGTATGGTTTTATACCATATTCCTTTTTCTTTTGATCTTTCATCAATATTCTTTCCAGTTAAGATAACAACTCTTTATATATTTTGACAATGTTTCGGAATAAAATTGTTTCACTGATGCATTTTCTCCTTCAATAGATGCTTCTTTTGCTAAACGGTCAGCCTCTTCGTTGCCGCTAATACCTATATGTGAAGGGACCCATTGCAGTTTAATACTTTTGCCACTAGAATTGATTTCGTGAAGTTTTTCTCTTTTGCCTGACACACAACGATTTAAATGTTGAATAGCACTTTTGCTGTCTGACATTATAACAATTTTGCAGAGACCTTCATTAATAACCCTGTATTTAAGTATTTAATTTTGTCAATGTTTGATCTAAGCGGCTATTTGAATACTTAATAAGCAATTGCAGTTAGTACAGTCATTTTATATATTTTTTCGAATAAAACTATAATAGAGCGCTATAATAATTTTAACAGAAAATTATTATAAATTATATATATGAGAGCTATATAATAATCAAGTCAGAAACTAAAAGAAATGCAACTTTTAATTACAAGATACAAGCTGTGCTATCGAAGAACCATCTTAATTTTATTTAAACATATGACTCTTTCAATAAAATTAACTTAATATTTAACTGCTAGATGACAAAATCTAAAGAAAATCCACTAGGTCCGACGAATTTTGTCATGTAATATTTTCTTCAAAATTGACTTGTTTGTATTCAAAAGAAGTAGGAGAAATGAAACCACTTTTACGAGATTACATTGTTTTATTTTGTGACAATGCATAAATAATACATATACGAAAAAATGTAAAATGCTATAAAACATTGAATGCGGATGCAAGACTAGCTAGTTTATTAGGAAAAGTTACAAATAAATTCAAAGACTTGAATAATTTGTACTGTTGTACTAATGTCTAATGATTCAGATTTGATATAAAGGTGTTTACCATCACACTAAAAACTTCTCGAAAACTTGTAACAAACTTTTGATAACTCCTGATTGCTAATACACAGTTTAAAAAAATGGATAACGTTATTTGGCCACATACTAAAAATAGGGATGATCCTATTATCACATACTGCTATTTAAATAAATGAAATAGATTTAAGTATAAAAACAATGAACTACTACCCTTAACGCTAAATCTTAAGCGGAAATAATAAAACGAATTCAACATGTCATATTTCACACATTAATTTACCTTAAAACGATAACGCTATAAAAATAATTTTTAAATGCTTTTGTTATTATTTTTGGATACTGTTTCTTTTAAATTGGGAAAACTTTTCAGGAAGTGGTTAATTTTCTATTGAACACTATCAAAATGTAAAAAAACTTGAGAGGACATTCGGTTCACAAAAATAATAACTGTTACATATTAATAAAAATTGGTCAGTTTTTAACGAGTACTTACTAAATTAGTAAAACTGGCCCTAAACGAACATTTAACTATTGTAAAGTGTACATTGATAATAATAATAACAAAACACACATTTAAACGAGTCTATATCCAACGCAGCAGGTAAAAAATACAAATTCGGAGACGACTTCACACGTTCAAGGACATAGATGGAGCCACTGTATACACAAAGTACAAACTCGAAATTTTAGTTTTTAGTCAACAACTTAAATAGAAATTTCAATTTTATAAACTTGATTTAGATTTAATTAATTACCATTTTAAAATGTAGTTTATCTCTATTCGCGTAAAATAATTACAGTGGCTGTCGATGTAAAAATCTTAACAAGTGTCGTCTCCGATACTATGTTTCATGTTAAAACTCACATCTAAACATTCTGCGCATTATTAAATAGTGAATACATAATTACGCATCACTTATGCATCACGTTTGGATTTCGTTTATGTTATTACATAAATACTGTATTCAGTAGCTGTTAAAAATCTTTAATCGTCTGTAAAGATAAGTAGCAAGCGTGATTCATAAATGACACGAAGTCAGTCTATTAATAATTAATATACCAATAAATATGAATAGACGTCGTTATGTCATGTTCTATTTTAAGTCTAACTTAAGTGTATGAACATTTGTGTTGGTCACACTGTACCGTTGTCTAAATATTCTTATCACTCGCACAAAATGCACTTTAAGCCTGCGCCTTGTATACTTTGTCACTGTCACTCATATGGTAATTGACAAGGAGCATAAGCATTAAAGCATCAGTTCGTCTATCCCAGATGTTTGTAAATTATGTGACGGTGAAATATATTAGAAAGTGTAAATAGCTTCGCTAATTTTCAGTGAATGTTCATATATGCTTCCCCCTCTTACCGATTTTAGCTTTGGATTACGAAAGAAAACGCTAAAGTTTATCAACTTTGCAGTCGCCAAGCTTAATTCTTTTACTCGCATTTATGAACTCCCATCGCTGTTACTTGTACGCTTGTGATGCAACTAGCTTTCAACGAAAACATAGCGTGTACATAACAAAAAACCAAACGATTCCGCTTGTGGAAAATGTTTGAATTTGAACACAATTCACTTGGAAGAGTTTTGAAAACATGCTTTGCTTTTATATAAAACATGATACAAAATGTAATAATAAAAGATAACTCTTACGATAGTAAGCTAAAGTTTTGCTTTTTTTTTGTATCAGCGCCATCTACAAATGTATTCTAGAACTACTAACAAATATGCTTTTTCAAAAATTACTTTTATTTGAAACAATAACAAACTGATGAAACGGTAATACAATATGATGTTTTTCCACAAGCGATATTATCCGGATGTCCGGTTTACCAGAGTCCGGACGACTTGCCGCCCGGCGGGTTCCGGACGCGGACTGAGGTCTTCGTGTCCAACCCCTCGACCTCTTCTGTAAATGTAGGAAAATAGAATATGTATGTACTTATAAAAATACAATCTTAATACGCGTGAATATGTACGTTCTTATACAAATATAATTTTTGACGACCTCCGTGGCCGAGTGGTTTGTACTCCGGGTTTCATGGTGTCGCCGACGCGAGAGGTACCGGGTTCGAATCCCGGTGGGGGCTGATGTTTGTGTGATGAATACGAGCATTTGTACTACAGTCACGGATGTTTCATATATGTTTCTATATAAATATACTTTTAAATGTACAGTATATGTATTCTATCCGTTATCCTATATAGTATCCCATAGCACAAGTCTTACAGTGCTTACTTTGGGGTTAGGCTAATTGGTGTGTTGGAAATATTATAAAAAATATATATAAATAAATCAATGTTGCTTATGATAACATTTGATAATTTCAAAAAGAAGGTCATTTTGTAAATGATCCTCCAAAAAATAAATGCCAATGCATAGCAAATAATTACAATAGCTAACCTTATGAAACCATTTGATATTTAGAATAGAATAGAATAATTCTTTATTGCAAAACTGTTACATTTAGTGATACTGCTAGATGTTAGTGCACACAATTAAAATAAACAGTAACCCTAATCGGGCATGCAATAGTCATTTTAACAAAACATTATTATTAAAATATTCATTTATTATTGAAGTGTTAATTTTTTGGGGTAGTTGCTATAAAAATTACCCATTGCTACATAGCCACTATGTGGTGCGAGAGAGCCCCCTTATCCTTATTGTTGTATTAAGAGTTCATGTAAGAAGATAAACTAAAACATCTGTAACTTATATGAAAATGAAAAAATAATATTTAGGTTCGACCAACCCGAATTGTTCTATAATTTTGACATACATCTAATCTTGCATTGATCTGTAAATCTGAGTGCGATAGTTTTTAATTTAATATAGTTTATGGTGGCCGTTGAGGAGCTCGATGGCGCGAATGGTTAGCGCGTTCGGTGAAGTTAAGCAACTTTCGCTGCGGTCGGTCATTGGATGGGTGACCAAAAATCTTCTATCTCGGGCTCCTCCGTGCTTCGGAAGTCACGCTAAGCCGTTGATCCCGCCTGCATCTGCAGCCGTTAGCACCCGCCAATCCGCACTGGGCCCGCGTGGTGGGTCATGGCCCCAATCCCCTATTCCATCCATAGGGAAGGCCTGTGCCCCAGCAGTGGGGACATTAATAGGCTGATGATAATGATGATGATGGTGGCCGTTTGCTTTCAGGGAGACTTTAAAGGTTGTTTGCTACCCTTTTGATACAAAAAATGCAATTACTGTAAGTATGGTATCTCGCATTATACTGGAGTTCTGCAGGTCGGTGTTCCAGCTCGCGCATTTTGCTATGAAACTACTGCTACTATATCTCAAACATATAGTGCTATACTAACTGCTGATAGAGAAGGTGGAATTCTTCAGATCCCTTTGTCCCGGCTCGCGCATCATGCTAAGAAACTACTACTAGTACAGGCAGTCCTCGTACTTACGGCATGTTATGTTCTCGAAATACGCGACGTATATTGAAATGACGTAAGTCGAGATATCCCCACGGACGCCGGCCCTACGGATATTGAGCTCGCGACAAATGAATTATCCTATGCCGGAAATCGAAACAATTGACGTACGCTTGAGGAATACTTTCAAAACAGTGTTTGACGTAACTTGAAACGACGTAAATCGAAACGGCGTAAATCGAAACGACGTAAGTCGAGGACTGCCCGTATATCTCAAACATATAGTGCAATACTGACTGCTAATAGAGAAGGTGGAGTTCTGCAGGTTTCGTTGCCCCGGTTCTCGCATCTTACGGCCCGTGGGTGTGCTGCATCCGGACACGCTAACGCTGTCCAATTGGCGCTGTACCGCTTGCAGATCTGTAAGAATTATTTATTTAGCTATTTATTTTCAACAAAGTACGACATAATACCATATAGACAAAAGAAAAAAGGCACATTATTTTGACAAAACTTCTAAATTTTAAGATCTCTCTTTTTAAATAAAACTAGTTTTAACGGGTTAATGCATGAACTTTATTTATTTATTGACGTTTCGCAGCCTTTTCAGATCTACATCTGACGATGTATAATTATTCTTATACGATAATGAGTGATGAAATAAATATCTCCCTTTTACTTTATTAATAGGAAGAAAAAACAAATTAAATGTGGAAAGAATTAAGAACAAAATGAAACTCATTTCAAAAGGACTGAAATTCATAAAAGTGGGAAAAATGATTTGAGGTCGGGTAGAATGTGGGGGGATATTTTAAGGGGGCAAATGGCTTACCGCGATTTTGCGAGAAAACTAACATCGAAAAAATTGCATGGAACGTAACCTTAAAACTTACGAAATAATAAATAAAATTTTAACCTATGTAAACATAATAATTACACATAAATATATATATACCAGAACTATGACATAGGACATTAATAGGCTGATGATGATGATGATGATGAGAACAATGAACCTAAAACTAAAAACCTTAGAAAATATAATATAATAGCTAAAATATATTATTAAAAGGAGTTCCTTTAGGCAAGGTTCCGAAGATACTGGCAGCGTTCCCCCTTAGAATAAATAAATGTATATTATTGATCTTTTCCATCGGTAAATTTTGTAGTTATATTTCACATTTTGCGTAAATAACCTGATTTTTTTTCCTATACTCCAAACGCTTTAATAATATGATATTTACCTGGCGTTCCGTTTCCGTTGGAGATCTTGATGGGGGAGTCCTTAGGGGAGTGATGCTGAGGACGAGGGGAGGCGGAGGGCGCATCCCCCCCGAATATGTAGGGGCTGTCCACAGGAGTCTTCAGGAAACGACCCGAACCTGATAACGAGATTACATATTTGAAGTTTGTACAATTAATAACTTACTACTATAGTAATCTGCAGCTTTTTTTAGGGTTCCGTACCTCAAAAGGAAAAACGGAACCCTTATAGGATCACTTTGTTGTCCGTCTGTCCGTCCGTCCGTCTGTCAAGACCCTTTTTCTCAGGAACGCGTGGAGGTATGAAGCTGAAATTTATATCAATTACTCAGGTCTACTGTCCCTTGAAGCTGTGAAAAAATCAAACTTCTAAGCCAACGCAATCAAAAGATACAGCCGTTTATGCCGCAAATTTTCGACACTAGCAAGGGAATCAAAACCTACAGGGTGCTTCCCGTGAACTCAGAATCTTGAAATTTGGTACCAAGCAACGTCTTATAGCATAGATAAAGGAAAAATTACGAAAACCATAAATTTTTAGTTACATCACATAATATATTTTTTTTTAATAATTTTAACCTTACTACCCATTTCCTCATAAACGCGTAGAGGTATTAAATTGAAATTCATACCAAATACTCAGGTCTATAATACCTTTAAGCTGTAACAAAATCAAACTTCTATGTCAACGCAATCAAAAGAAACAGCAATTTAAGCTGCATATTTTGAAACTCGCAAGTACTCGCAAGGGAATCAAAACCTAAAGGGTACTTCCAGTCGACCTAGAATCTTGAAATTTGGCATGAAGCAACGTTTTATAGCACACATAAAGGAAAAATTGCGAAAACCTTCAATTTTTAGTTACATTACAAAATATATATTTTTTAATAAATATAAACTTATTACTTTTTTCCTCATGAACGCGTAGAGCTATCAAGTTGAAATTCATATCAAATACTTAGATCTAATTGCCTTTAACCCGTGAAAAAAAAAAATCTAAGTCAACTCAAAAACGCAAAACGCAAAAGTACAACCATTGATACCGCATATTTTGAAACTCGCAACTACACGCAAGGGAATTAAAACCTAAAGACCACTTCCCGTTGACATAGAATATGTGTTAATATAAAATAAAGGATTACTTAAACGATAAAGAGATCTTTGTCTTAAATTTATGCTCCTCCATCTTTCCCCATTGTAATGTTATGAATTTCATTTTGCAATAAAAATACCATAGTTATGACTCGATTGTCGTAATGAACGAACTTTGTAAACCTTGCAGGTTTGTACGGAACCCTCGGTGCGCGAGTCCGACTCGCACTTGGCCGGTTTTTTTATAGATAGGTCCGACAAATAAATCCACCCCACCTGATGTTAAGTGAAGGTGAAGTCCAGACGCGAAGATAGCTGGTACAGCAGTTCTACCTGCCACACCAGCCATCCTAACCCTGCCGGCCTGCATGCTGCTTCTTCACGCCTCTTTTAAAGGATCCCAGGTTGTAAGAGGGAAGGAACACGTGAGCGGGCAGAGCATTCTATTTACGGATAGTGCGACAAAGAAATGAGTCACCTTTCTTTGTACGCGTTGGAATTGTGGCCACAGTTAGACGGTGACAACGTAGGCCAGCGCGCGTGGTCCTCTGAAGGAAAGGGGAAGGTAGGATAAGAGAGAATAACTCCTCGGAACACTAGCCATGGTACAGACAATAGAACGCAACGATAGATATAGAAGACCGCAGTAAAATAACACTACTTACTGGTATTGTAGTGTTTCTGTCGGTAAATAAGGTTCAAGGGTCTACTCTCTTTCGCCGAAACGAACTTTCGATAATGAAGTTCAAACGAAATTTAATTTCGTAAATTAAGGTTATACTTAATTTGAACGATAAACTATCAAATTGTAGCTTTCTTTGAGTGTAGGGGTGACCCCCTACATAATGATATTAGGATAAAGGAAGAAAGACAACTGATACTGTTGAATGCATGACGAGCATTGATTTATTAATTAAATTAATGTTTTGAAAAAAGCTAATACGATGACGTATTATGATGCATTTCTTAGATACAGCTACGTGATAAAGTAGGTTATGCTTGCTCTGCAGATATACAAGATTTCTGTACGTGACTAGCCATGGTACAGACAATAGAACGCAACGATAGATATAGAAGACCGCAGTAAAATAACACTACTTACTGGTATTGTAGTGTTGTTGTATTGTATATTCCGACGACGAATATTATTATAATTAAAAACGAACCACAAACATAGTAATATAAGTGCGAAGTTTCAATCGAAATTTCGTTTTTCGTTGAATTAGAGTGGGCCTCCAGGGCTTCACGGGGTAAGGGATTGGGTCAGGGTAGGTAACGGTGGGTCGCAAATAGTGTTGCCAGGTGTTCCGATTTGCGCGGGACGTCCCGATTTTTAGGGGTCTGGGAACGTGTCCCGATTTGTATGTACACTAATTGTCCCGATTAATCAAAAAAGTAAATTTAGGTAATAAATATAATACTATGCTTGCACTAGTAGTTTAAAACGCAATAAATGAAACCCAGACTTAAAAAGCCCTTCTTTTTTGTTTACTGTCCCGATCTTCAACCCTAAATCCCGATTGTTTTGACCTCATGTACCGATTTAAAACAAATCGGACCTGGCAACACTAGTCGCAAGCGCCTACTATGATGGCCGCTTACCTTCAAGCGGGCCATATGCTTGTTAGCCACCCTTTTAACATAACATAAAAATATCCTTTAGTTAGAAGTGAAATCTTAATTTTCGAATATGATTTTCATACCTTCAGCCACCCTCAAGTCTCCGTCATCGAGGCACACCCTCCCATTCACTATCACGTACTGGGGACCTCCTACCACGGTCTGGCCCTGAAACATCAAAACGTTACATTAATAAAGTTACAATATAATGAATATTACACACATAGACACAGATATACAAAGTATTAGACTGGCTAGAGCCAGTCGACTCCTTTTTTTATTTGTAAAAACTTCTTGAGTGTCCTTGGCTTGGGAGGTAAGCTGGTGAATGAGTTATGCGTTACGAAAAGTTTGTTCGGGCGAAAGGGAGTTGAGTGGGGGATTTAAGCAAGCAGTGCGCGCGCACATTTTCTTTCCCTCTTTCTCTAATAGCTAGTAAATGAAATATGTATATGCACACACATGTATATATTGTACACACACACAGCTGTTGAACTAAGTTTACCAGCTAGCAGAAAAATTTGAGGATAGCATTGCAATTTTGAATCTATTGTTATACCTAAAAATATCGTTGATTCAACTAAATCTATATTTCAATGGTTGAATTTAATTCCAACGGTTGCGTTTTTAACGTTCGTTTCTAAAATAAAGAGGTATCATGAGCAGACAATACGATCTCACACAGCTTTTCCACAAAAAATGGCAAATCATTTATGTATCTACAATGAAAAGAGAAACGGACCTAAAGTCAATCCCAGGGTAACGCCCATTTTCACAGAAGATCCAGATGACTTAACATCATTTACCTCTACAGTTTGAACTCTGGAACTGAAATGCGATAGTAGCAAGTTATGAACTGCGCCATTGATTCCATAGTGATTTAATTTTAACACCAGCGTCTGGTGCTCAACACAATTAAACGCCTTGGATAAGTCACAGAATACTCCAAGAACATTCTTCTCCCAGGCAACCGTTAAATTAGGGACCTACCGATTTATTATAGAGAGCTGTGTTTCTTTTTATTTTGTGATATTTCGTAGTTGTGATTTGAGTTCTATTATAATGATGTATGCCTACCTCGAATATATTGAAGGGCACGGCATGGCGATGGTTGGCAGCGGATATAGTGCGCTGCAGGGTGGGGTCCCACACCACGATGTCGGCGTCGCTGCCCGCGGTCACCCGTCCCTTGCCAGGCCACAAGTTGAAGATCTTAGCTGCTGTAGCGCTCGTTACGGATACGAAGCGACACGGGTCCATTACACCTGGGGTACAAACATAAATGAGGAGCGGGCGAACAAAACGTTATCTAATATATATAATTCTCGTGTCATGGTGTCTAGTAATTGAACTACTCCGAAACGGCTCGACCGATTTTTGCTATATTTTATATGCATATTCAGTAGGTCTGCGAATAGGACAACATCTATTTTTCATCCCCCTAAATGTTAAGGGTGGTCCACCCTTAATTTTTATTTTGGACATTTTTTTTGTTTTTATTTTTTTATGATACGTCATACAAAAATACATACACCCTTCATTTTCACCCTTCTACCACCAACCTCATTTTTTTTATGGTGGTACGAAGTTCGCTGGGACAGCTAGTAATTACATAAAATCAAATATCTTACATGAGCTGTATAAAACTGAATGAATACAGTGAGTTTTTGGCATGGTTTTTGATTTGTAAATTTAGTAATTTTAACACTGTTTTAGGTGATATTGATTGAAAATTATTTGTGATTCAAATTCAACGGGCCCGTAGCCGTAAAAAAAGTATTTTGACCAGATGTGCAAATATACCGTTTTGTTCGCCAGCTCTTCATAAATAATATCATCATTAGATACCCAACTGATAAAATTAGGGTAATAAATAATTTTTATCACTTGTATTTGAATAGAAATTAATATAGTCAGATATTTTTATTCAGCTATTAAATTTTAACTAATACATTTTTTTTAACCATTAACTCCACCTCTAGTCGGAAACATTGCGAATCTCAGCATTCAACTACGTCTGAAGGTGGAGGCAACGATAATTAATTAATACCCAAGGCACAACAACACGAACAAAATATGCGAAACCTGTCCAAAAGGTACATTAGACGATCCATGGAGCTTCGTAAGATAATCTCATAGTCAAAAACCATATAAGGCATTATTTAAACATTGAAAGTCACCTTTAATTTATAGTATATAAGGCCTTAAATTCAACGCATATCAAAGAATTATGACAGTTCAAAATGCAAGCTCGTACAGGCGGCGTACTACGCGTAATTCTGAATGACGTGTTAGCAATAATGTAGATACAGAGCACAAGATGGTCATGCGGTCCGAAAATTTCCGCTGCCTAGAAGTTCTTAGAACACACTCTGCAAAGAATTTTCTGTCCTTGTCTATCACTATAAGGGAGAAGGAGATAGCGATAGACATACCAGTGTTGACGCCCTTCTGCCACAGGATAGACATGCGGTCCTCGACGCCATTAACACCGTTGGGGATCTTCGCGAAGTTGTCCTTGCCAATCTCCTTGTCCTTCTCGTGGAACGTGCAGTTGTCGCTGCCAATCAGTTGCAGACGATCGCTGGAACAAACGTTTTTTTATATATTTAAATATGTAGATGAAATTATAAATAAATAATTCAAACTAATCTTCTAAATGCGAAACCGAGATTGTGTGTATGCGAAATGTATGAAACCAATAGCTCTCTGACGCGTCACGAAACAACACGACAGATAAAATATGTCGTGGATTTTTGAATGGAACATCAAGCTGGAACTGACTGTTGTATTCAGCGAATGGGTTAGCAACAATAGTTATTAATCATTGTCAGCTGACATTTGACATCTGCCACTGTGAGTGTATAAAAGCGAGTAAGTAACGTCAGCCTTTGGGACCCCCTACGACAACGGCTAACTAGTGCCGAGGTCCGAGTCTCAGACACGCCCTCTAGTTGAGCCAACCCCCTTAGGTTCGAGTGGTCTAGGGGCTCCACACGGAGAGGAGACCCCCCCCCGTGGGGAGATGCCCTCCGCCTGGAATACCTCTAGAGGCACTCGCCAATTCTCGGCTCGAGGTCCCCTTAGGATCTCGCCGTTTCCCAAACCCGGTGACGCTGAACGCGACCAACAGCATACACACTAAAAAAAAACAGCCTTTGGGATGAGGGCATTAGTGATGTAGACGTTGAGCTGTTCGATCATTTTCAAACCCCTTACCGATTTTACCACGTTCCGATTTAATCCGTTTGCATCTGAGCAATCATAGCTTATTTTGAGCTAATTATTTATTAGACTATCTTTATGAAACCTCATTGCAAACCGTATATTATTTAGAAGATTTAATGGACGACAACCCGTCACTAAACGAACGCCCACGGGCCCCTTCTACAAATATATCAGCTGGATGCACTGGACTCGGTGGAGCACCGTGCAAAGAGACTCATAGGCAATGACGCACTCGTTGAGGCTAATCTCCAGAGCCTTGACCACCGAAAACGTGTAGCTTGCCTCTCGGTGTTTTATCGGCTACATTTCGGAGAGTTTGCGGAGGTATTACATAATTTGATCCCCCCTACCCTTTTCCACCACCGGAGGACCAGGAGGCCTACTCTATTTCAACGAAAAACGAAATTTCGATCGTAATTTCGCACGTTCCTTACTCTGTTTCTATTTCATTTCGAAAATTCGTTCGTCAGAAAATAGTTTGACATTTATATTCTCTAAGCCTACTACTCTAATTCACAAAACTTTTGAACTAAAAGTTCAATTTGACAGATAATTGTTGGAAATTTAAACCGCAAATTGACGAATGAAAAGTGTTACCTTTTCATTTTCGTTTTGGATTTTTTGTTTAAATTTAACCTAAAATTACTACTAGAGTATTTTTAATTAAGGCTGCTTAGCGTGAGGAACATTTTTTAGTATGAAAAATTTACAAATAAATCTAATTTTTGTTTATGTAATGTATTGCCAATACTTCAAAGTGTTGCACGACAAATTTAGGTTGACATACATTGGATTGCATCAACTCTACAAATTAGTCGGCTAACACTGTCAAAAGAGGTTGTTTTATTGTAATCAAAAATGTTGTCATAAAATAATATTGTTTTGAAAAAACGTTATCAAAAAAGTGTAGACAAAAAGAACTCACAAACATAACTCATTCCATTCGTTCACGATAATTGTCTGTGATTCCGAACTTTATGTTCGAAGATGAAATAGAGTAGAGTCACTGGCGAAATTTCGTTTAAAATTAGTTCGTTGCCGAAATTTCGTTTCGGAGAAAGAGAGTAGAGCTCCAGGCGCGGCGAGGGCTTTCACCCTTGTTTTCGAAGTTCCTCCCAATCCGACGAAGCGATTTGCTTCCGCTTTCATTATGCAAATGGCTAGGGAGTGGAACTTCTTGCCGAGGTCTGTTTTCCCGGACCAATATAATCTAGACATCTTCAAAGTCAGAGTGAACAGGCATCTTCTAGGCAGGTGTGTACCTTCCTAGGCCTCATCGTCGCTTTCCATCAGGCGACATTGTGGTCAAACGCATAGCCTATTATGCACAAAAAAAACTTGCCTTATATATCTAAATAAGTAATGTACTCACTCTGCCAAAGCTTCCACCATGGCTTGGGGTGTATCCGGATCCGGTCGTAATGGCGGCGACAACACGTGAGCGGCCGCATGACGGAAACAAGCGTTCCTGTAGTGGGTGCCTGTGAAACAAACAAATAAATTAAAGAAAATTTTACTAGAAAAAAATCCACCAGGTCCAGGCAGCAGACGAGACTCGAACTCGAACCCTTCGTCCGGGCGGATGCATTGACCGATTATGCTACCGCGACCTTAATGGCCGTGTCGAATTACTTCTAGTATTTAGAAGTCTTAGGCTGCAAGGCTCATCTCTTCGCATTGTAGGTGACGCAAAAGAAGAAATAGCAATTGTAGTTTATTAAATTTTCGTTTTATTTGTTTTTCTTTACATTGAAACAGTTATCTGTTAAATGCTTAAAATTTAAATAAAATAAATTATTTTACAAAATAACATTACTGAGTGCCGCCGACTACGTTAGTGTGGCAAAATTTGTTTCCCATACACTCATCCACCCTCCATATCATCCCCTTAAAGGATGATTCCTAAGAAAATAAAATATCTTATGTCTTATCTCTATACTAAATTGTTATATTAGTATATAGTTTTAAATGTTATACCAAGGTACAGAACAAAAAAAAACAATATCGTTTATTCAGTCTAGGCTGTTACAAGCACTTGTGAATGTCGAAAAGTCACGCCATCATCGGTTCGCAAATCTACGGCGGGAGAGACCTTGTACTGAAAAGAACCGGCAAGAAACTCAGCAAGGGCTGTTTTTTTTCTCCCTGTAATATATATTATATAGAGTACCAAATATTGAGACTCCTTACAAGTGGGGACTAAGTGATCCGATTGAGATGAAGTTTGGTACAGAGATAGTTTGAGTCCCGGAAAAGGAAATAAGATAGTTTTTTTCCTAGATATTTTTATTTAAATTTCATGAAAATTGAAATTTTTCCTTTGAAATTCTTGTGAAGGTTAAAAAAAAGAGTGATAGTCTCACGTAAGTGAATTATATGTAAATTCTTGTGAGGTTAATAAAATTTTTTAGACCACAAACCACGAAATCATCCTTTAAGGGGGTGATATGAAGGGTGTATGGGAAACATATTTTGCCCCACTGACGAAGTCACGGGCACCCACTAGCGTTATATTAAAAAAAAAACAAGTTTAATTTATATAAAAAAATATTATAATTTATATATCGGCAATTTCATGCTTTACACCTAATATGATGTATTAGAATAAGCACATTCTAGAAAGTAATAGAATAAGCAAATTTCGTGGGGATTCTGGAATTAAAATTTCATTGATGGTTGAAGATGGTAATAGGGAAGGGAAGATTGCTCACCATCAGTACCGACGGTCGCGGCCAAAGTTTCCCCATAAACAGGGGGTTTCTGCCTGAGGCGGGCCGTTTCCAAAGCTTGCACGGCGCTCTTTGACATCATATGCACTATGTAAAGCGGGGAGTCCGCCTGAAATCACAGAAACAAATCGTTATATTAGGTACTGATTTTTAATTGTGTAATGGTAATTTAAATTAATTCTAATAAAATCGAATCCGGGTTGTTTGAAAGTTTATGATATCTTTACATTTAACAAAAAATAGGTTTTTATTATTTTTTAGGTGACTGCATTCCTGCATGTCTTTCCTACCTTACTCTACTCTCGTCTACCTCACTCTACCCTCATCTACCTCCATCTCCCTCCATGATAATCTAGCACAATACACCATCAATATGGTTACAATGTATGGGTAGTTATATCTAATATATAAAATTCTCGTGTCAAGGTGTGCGTAATTGAACTACTCCGAAACGGCTCGACCGATTTTCGTGAAATTTTATATGCATATTCAGTAGGTCTGAGAATCGGACAACATCTATTTTCCATCCCCCTAAATGTTAAGGGTGGTCCACCCTTCATTTTTATTTTGGACATTTTTTTTGTTTTTATTTTTTTTATGATACATCATACAAAAATACATACAACCCTAAATTTTCACCCTTTTGCCAACAACCCCTTATTATTTTAAGGGCGGTACGAAGTTTGCTGGGACAACTAGTATATATATATATATAAGTAGCACCCACCTGGTTGGCGATAACGCAGGCGCGGTTGACGGCCTCAGCTTCGACCTCCTCGTCGCGCGCCAGCTGGTGCCCCTCGGGGCCACTAATACCACGCGCCAATAACCTTTCGGTGTTGCGGGCGATTATGTGGCCGTTCTCAGCGTGGACCTGCGGAAAAGTTTGGAAATAGCAATTGGAGAAAAAGTACTTTTCTATCTCGGCTGCGCGACGAAGCTTCGAGTACTTACTATTGCGCTGAAATTTGGGTCCGAAATTTCAGAAATTGCAGTAAAATTGGTGACCGACCAAAATTTTTCAAATAATAGATTATTTTGGCATCGATTATTATCATCCTTAAGCTCAATAGTTCGTTACGACAGCAGCTTATGACGTCCCACACCTTTTTTTTTTCCTTGGCGTCTTCCTCGAAATGACTTCCCACACCTGCGTTTATCGTGATCATAGACAAAGCTTCGTGGCAATAGACGCTGTTGTGGGATAGGCATCATTGTATTTTTATCGCACCCCCCCCCCCCTCCTCCCCTCTGGAACAGCGGGAGGAGTCTCACATAATCCCAGCATTAATAGCGTAACGTAGCTTAGCCTACCAAGTTCAGCGCTCCATGTGGTAGGAGATTCAGGTATAATCCGATTAGGTGGGAATAACTGGAGTGTAGATTGTTTTGCTGCATCAGCTAACCTGACGACTCTATTTCACTTATACTTAACATCAGGTTATAATAAATACAAAATAACACCATTTTATCACTTAGTGTTGAGTGCCTCGATGGTTAGCGCATGCGACTGCGATCGTTGAAGTTAAGCAACTTTCGCCAATCTTCGCCGTGCTTCAGAAGGAACTTTGGTAATACGTCAATCTTGTCCGTGCTTCAGAAGGAACTTTAATACGTTGGTCCCGGCCGCATCTGCAGTCGTTTGCACCCACCAATCCGGACTGGGCCCGCGTGGTAGGTCATGCCCCAATCTCACTATTCCATCCATAGGGATGGCCTGTGCCCCAGTAGTAGGGACATTAATAGGCTGGCGATGATGATTGACTCTTCAACTCACCATAGGCAAAGCTCGTAGTTCAGTACAAGCCTCCATCACACATGTTAATTCATAGTCATCTAACATCCAAGCATCTTTGTACGCCATGAACATCTTGAAGGAGTTGACACCGTACTGTTCGGAAACCAACTGCTCCATTTCCTTCTTTACGGAAGCAGACCACCAGGTCACTCCGACGTGGAGAGCGTAGTCGCAACACACCTGCAATTATTTTATAGGTTGGTTTAAGTAAATAAGAAACTAGCTTTTGCCAAAGGGGTGGAAATTCCAATAAAAAATTGAAGCTTTTCTTTGTTAAACGGGTGTAATTCAACCAGCAGGGAAGGGGTAGACGTTAACAGAGAAAGAAAAGTTATATAATATTTTTAACTAGATTTAACAATCTAAAGAAAATTTTACTAAAAAGAAACTTCGAACAAGGCACTAGCCACTTCTTCACATTGCAGGCAAATACAATATCAAATGAAATACTATATTTTCAAGCTTTTGAACCTTTTTACACCATGTGTAAAGTGATTTTTAAGAACATAGAACAGGCACAAGTACATGAATTGTACTTTGTTGGTAGAATTATGGAATACATATTTAAACATCTATTAATCCATTATTGCTTGTTTTTCCTTAATTACGGCAAAAAAAAATGTTTTGTTACTGAATGAATTAAAAGTACCTTATTATCGGCTTTTTGTCTCCAGTTATTGTAAGCTTCTATAAGAGATTGTCCTTTTTGTGGGAGCACGAAGTCGACTGGAATAAAAAAAAAACAACATTGAATTAAAACTTCTAGTGTTAGGCTAAGAACTTAAGAAAAAAATTACGTTTTCTTTTAAATAGACTAATACAAACAAATAATATCAATAATTTGAAAAAGCAGATACTTTTCTAAGTGTTCTTAAGTGGGAGTACCATGTTCGATGACCATGGCAAGCGGTGACTTATACTCTTTCAGGCTAGTGTGGCCTAATGGTGAGAGAGACGGGCGTATGAATAAGAGCAATAAATCAGCTATGCCCTTCCTCCCTTAAAATTTCTTCGTTTGAGGTTTTCTAAGGATCTTACAAGGCTACTCACCCTCCAGCTACATCCGCCCTGGTGCGCTTGTAGAAGTCGTCGCGGTCTTGGCTCCCATTATCTGATGATTATGTCAAGCGATACCTCTTACTAACTGATGGTGGTAGTGCCTCCAGCTACGGCCACCCTGGTGCCCTTGTAGAACTCGTCGGCGGTCTTGGCTCCCATCATCTGATGACCATGTCAAGCGGTGCCTCATACTCACTGATGGTGGTAGTGCCTCCAGCTACGGCCACCCTGGTGCCCTTGTAGAACTCATCGGCGGTCTTGGCTCCCATCATCTGATGACCATGTCAAGTGGTGCCTCATACTCACTGATGGTGGTAGTGCCTCCAGCTACGGCCACCCTAGTGCCCTTGTAGAACTCGTCGGCGGTCTTGGCTCCCATCATCTGATGACCATGTCAAGCGGTGCCTCATACTCACTGATGGTGGTAGTGCCTCCAGCTACGGCCACCCTGGTGCCCTTGTAGAACTCATCGGCGGTCTTGGCTCCCATCATCTGATGACCATGTCAAGCGGTGCCTCATACTCACTGATGGTGGTAGTGCCTCCAGCTACGGCCGCCCTGGTGCCCTTGTAGAAGTCGTCGCGGTCTTGGCTCCCATCATCTGATGACCATGTCAAGCGGTGCCTCATACTCACTGATGGTGGTAGTGCCTCCAGCTACGGCCGCCCTGGTGCCCTTGTAGAACTCGTCGCGGTCTTGGCTCCCATCATCTGATGACTATGTCAAGCGATGCCTCATACTCCCTAACGGTGGTAGTGCCTCCAGCTACGGCCGCCCTGGTGCACTTGTAGAACTCGTCGGCGGTCTTGGCTCCCATCATCTGATGACCATGTCAAGCGATGCCTCATACTCACTGATGGTGGTAGTGCCTCCAGCTACAGCCGCCCTGGTGCCCTTGTAGAAGTCGTCGGCGGTTTTGGCACCCATCATCTCCAGCTCGAAGTGGGTGTGAGGGTCAATTCCCCCTGGCATCACCAGCTTGCCGGTGGCGTCGATGGTGCGGGTCCCACCAGGGATGATGAGGTTGCGACCCACTTGTCTGTAACAATGATGAATCGGTGATTAAATGAACGAAAAAAAAGAGGTAGGCCATAGTGGATTTCCCGCTCAAATTGGTGCGTTATCACAGTAAAGTAACATTACCTTTTGATGGTATTATGTTTGTGTCGTTAAGCTTAAGTTTCTGGGCTCCACGGGTTTTTTTTTGGGTTCCGGTGGTTATTCTCCGGAGAATTACCTAAGAACATTAATTTGAATCAGATTATTTAGATGGTTTAGTATTTTAGCATATGGATGTTTGTTTTTCGCTATTTGATACGAAAAACATAGGAGACTTTTATAAGTTACATTTCATTATTATGTAATTTATATATATTGGGTTAAGTTAGTATTGTATTGTATTGTTTTTTTTTGTAATAGGTCATTTGATAATTTTAGGTTAGAGATATGTAAATTTAGATAGAGTGTAGTTTTAGGAATGGAGTTTATAGTGTGAGTTATCAGCTGTTATTTTATTCTTTCAGTGTGCACTTACGATGGTTTTACATAGATCGATAAATGAATTTAAGCATGGGCTCCACGGGGTAGGAGTTCAGGTGAGGATATGAAACGGTGCGGGTGATATTTTTGGTATCGAAAGCGTCTATGGTGGCCGCCTATCCTCAGGCGAGCCATACGCTTGTTTGCGCAACTACTTTTTTTGTCATATTTTTTATTATTATTTTCAGGACTCCGTTACTATGCATTTCTCACAAGTCGCAACATTATTTCTGAAATTTTACAAAAGGATATTGAGGTAGAAATTGTATCCGAAATGGAGAATCACGAAGTCTACAGCAGTGATACTGAGCAAGAAGCGGAGTTTGGTGATGTTTCTGTTACTGTTACATAAGAGAAGAAATATACAGAGAACACACAATACTTATTTGTGTCAGTTGCTATCAAGAGAAGATATAAATAAAATTTAAATAATTGAAACATTTGAAACATAAATACTGCAAATTTTTAGTTGAGATTTTTTGAGATTTTTGAGGGTGAATCGTCAATCAATAAGAAAAAATAAAGTAGAGAAAAAAAAATAGTATAAAAGTTCAAATTGCGTCTATTAGTTGATAAGAACATTCTATGAAGTTATAATATCAGACCTCATTTTGCATGAAACTAAAGAAAAAAAATAAGAAAATTGTTAAGTTTATAAGAACACTAAGGAAGAAGTTAAGATTTTGGTTGCTATTAATGTACATTTGTGCCTTTAATAACAATAAATACTAATTTTCAAAAAATAACAATTTTTAATTATAGGTAATAGTATAAACAAAACACATAAAATAAAAAACTTCAAATTAAATTATAATAAAATAAACTTCTTAAAATAATGTGGTCATTTTTACCCGGTAGCGAGCGTTGGTGTCCGTATTTGCGACGAACGCCATTTAATAAAGAACGGCAAAAAAAACACGTTTTTTAAATAGTAGCAGCCCCCCTTAAATATTGCTTTTATTATATTTTTAGTATTTTGTTGTTATAGCGGCAACAGAAATACATTCATCATCATCATCTGTGAAAATTTCAACTGTCTAGCTATCACGGTTCATGAGATACACAGGCTGGTGACAGACCGACAGACGGACAGTGAAGTCTTAGTAATAAGGACCCGTTTTACCCTTTGAGTACGAAACCCTAAAAAGTGATAAAGTCTAGCCAAGATAAAAACGTAACGCCTGGTGAAACCTGCACACTAAATAGTTATCTACATCGCTCAAAGATGGCGTTGCTAGTCTGCTGAAACATGCTATTGGCTCGCGTTGACGATTTTACAAGGTAGGACTTCGAACGCAGTTGCGGTAGACGTGTACCTACCGTTCAATGTGAAATAAGATTTATCTTGTAAGGGTGTCGGCTGTAAAACACAAGCAGTCGACGCCTAATATTAGCAAAAACATCGACTCTCGAATGAGAATTTCGTTTCGTTATACGTACGTAACGTATAACGCAATGTTATAAAAGAAATACGTGTGGCACTCGGGGACTACCGTGGTAAAGCTATTTGCATAGCATTATTTTTATCAACTAATGCAATTATAATTATTTATTTATGCAGTATTTTTTTTTGTTTGCTATCAACTCAAGTTTTTTCTTTGATATCTCTTATCTATTAGACAAGTCCGTCCGTCCGTCCGTGGTGCTGTTTCAGCGGCCAAACCGTAAGAGATAGATAAAGAGAATGTTTAAGTTATAAGTTGAGAATAGTCTGATAAGACTACAAACCGGATGTGAGTAACGTAGCACTTCCGGTTTTCGAGAAATCACGTGATTTCTATTTCAAACGAAACCACACAAAATCTCCGAAGTTCTCAATTAATTAAATACATTTTTTTTTGGTGAACATTTGGTTCACTGGTTTGCTAGTTAATAGTTAATAGATAGCGAGGTAGGCCCTATGATATTTTATTGGGCAAGCACAGCAACTTCAACAAGCTCCACAACACACCATCTTTAGTCCAAAAATTATAATTATAAAGTCTCAATAAAAGGGAGACAAACAAAAACAGGTGCTGGGGTCTAACACAAATATAAAAAAAGGAAAAAAATAATAATAAAAAATACGAGTGCGGGATTTGAACCGACGACCGCGGTGATGCGTCGAACGTTGGTCCCGTGGCAAAAATTAAACACGATGCGCCGTTTCGATGGATACTGGAAAGGCGAAAATTTTGTTCATATGCACTGTTGTCAGGTTATTTTCGTTACGGAATTTTTAGATTCGGGCGCCGCGCTCAAAGCCCTCAATAAAATCTATGCAATAGCTTAAAAGACAATACCTAAAATTTACTGAATCGCAATTAAAATAAAATTATTGAGTCCCAATAACTATACTTCAGATTTTTTACTTCTGCAAAAATGTGCCGTATTATGTCGCAAATGAAAATCGCATTATATTTTTCGCACAGCTGTTAAAGACGGAAAGAATCTACATCTGCTACACACTGCACTGCACTTTCAAAAATCCGGTTTGGACACCCACCCATTTATAGCAAAAAAAAAGGTTTTTTCTCCCAGATAATAAATTAATATTTAAAAAAAATTAGGTTAACAGAATCTCTTTCTGTAAAAGCCTGGTAATGAAAAGAGAACTTTTGCTGAGTCACGATCCGTTCCCCACTGAAGAGAACAAAGCAATTTAATTTAACCAATTGTTAACATTGATTTAACGGAACGCTTAACAATATATTGAGGTTAAGAATCTATTGACCTCATAATATAAGTGATGCGGGAACTTCGAAGTTTTTTTAACTGCATATAAAAAAAAACTCCGACGAGGCAGTTTATATAATGTTTTGTGTCATAATAAAATAACAGCTGGGGCAGCATCTTCAATCCGTCTTTATAATCAGCCTATTAATGTCCCCACTGCTGGGGCATAGGCCTTCCCTATAGATGGAATAGGGAGATTGGGCCATGACCCACCACGCGGGCCCGGTGCGGATTGGCGGGTGCTAAAGACTGCAGATGCAGCCGGGACCAACGGCTTAATGTGCCTTCCGAAGCACGGAGGAACTCGAGATAGAAAATTTTTGATCACCCATCCAATGACCGACCACTGCGAAAGTTGCTAACTTCAACGATCGCAACCGAACGCGCAAACCACCCCGTCATCGAGCTCCTCTCCAATCCGTCATTATCAGATTCTAATGCTCCACTGCTGAGGTCACGATTTCCACCGATTCTGGTCCAGTGCGGATTGATGGGTGCTAACGTTTGCTGATGCAGCCGGGGTGCCTTCGAAGCACGGAGGAGCTCGATTTTATAAATATGTTTGGTCAAACTACCATGATTTGAATGTGACAATAAAATTTAAAATAATGCGCGATAGAGTTAACAAAGAGAAACTGTTTTGAGCACATTAATATTCATAAGGTTTTGTTATTCGAGCATATTAGTTTTCACTACTTGTTTCCACGGTTTACTTTTACTTTCGCTTGCAAAATTACTAACGGATGGTAACTTTTTGAACAACAAAATCATTTTTTATAATGGTGTACAGACAAAGTTGTTTAACGATAGAGATAATTTTGTTGCGTACTTTAGGACCCGTCATACCGAATGCACGAGTTTTTTGGTTCAATGCAAGATTAATTCAAGTCAGGTGTAATGGTCCGATTTGAAAAAAATCTTTTTGTGTTAGACAGTGCATTTATTGAGGAAAGCTTAAGGCTATATATGTAACATCACGCTGCGACCAGAAGAAATGTTGCAATAAAAACAAAAACGGCTAAAAATATTCAATTTGTAAGTTTCCGTTGCTTGCGCTGCGTAAATGATTAAAGTTATATAAAAACCATGTATGGCGGAATTCTTCCCCTTTAAAAGTTCTATAAAAAAAGCGCGACAGCAAATATGCCCATTTTGAAGTTTGTCTCACTATAACCTATTTCCTCAAATTAACGCAGTTGGAACCGCATGGGACCTGTAGTTGTGACATAACTATAATGGTTAGACAAATGGTATGTCTTCTATAAAACTTTAGTACATCACTTTGCTCTACTGTCAATGACTTCCGCAGCGTAAGCGATATAAGGTTATTTTTTGGTATTTTTTTTCACACCCCGATAGCGTACTATCGAAGTTTTCACACGGTACCCTTACTTTTTTGAAAATAGTCTATAGCCTATGTTCATCACGGATAATGTAGGATCCTAAACGTGAAAGAATTTTTCAAATCAATAAAACAAATCTTTTCTCTTTATAATATTAGTATAGATTTTTATGATAATAATAAAACCGTATTGCTGGTTACAAATGACGCGTATTACCGCAATGGATGCTTCCGGAGCGCGGTGCGCATTCGAAATTCGAACCGGAACGTTGTCGACTAGATCGCGAGCGACACACGCATTCCATTTGTGAATATTTTAATTTGGAATCGTTTCCTCGTTTTTTAATGATTAGCTAGCTACCTACAAATCAATATGCGTACTACACAAAAACAAAATTTAAAATTTGCAATAATTATTTTTTATGGGTGCTTTTCCTTATATA